AGGAAACCAAATTGATCCGGCCCAGTCTCCGTGAGTCGCAGCCTGGACGTACCTGGGCTCCCCATTAGCTCCTTGAAAAAACCGTGTAAGACCCTAAACCCTAAAACCCTTCTAGAACCCCTACACCCTAAAAACCATTATAGAACCCCTAAAGAACTTAAGACCCTTGTAGAACCCTAAAACTCTTATGGAAGGAACCCTTACACCAGGCAAAAAGTACCCCTTTTGGAACCCCTAAACCCTGAAACTCCTATGAAATGAACCCTTAAGCAATGCAAAATCTCTAAAACGGGTACCATTAAACCCTAAACCCCTAAACCCTAAACCCTAAACCCCTAAACCCTAAATTGGGAGACGTAGGCACTGACGCTCTTCGAGTGCAAGCGGAAGGCTATCTGCCTCACACGGAGCTCGAGGTCTTCCTTGGCGCCCAGTGCGGGTACCGGGCATCTTCAGTGTCTGGGCACCCAGTTATGGGTGGAACGGCCCCAGGGGCCGGGTGGGAATGTAGGGCTTTAGGGTTTAGGGTTTTAGGGTTGTGTTTGGGTTTAGGTCGAAGTCTACCTAATTGGGGTTTCGAATTTTAGGGTTTTAAGGGTTTGGGGGGTTTAGGGTTGTAGGCTTTCGAATTCTAGGGTTTTCGGGTTTTGGGTCGAGGATTGCGGGCTTAGGGTTTAGGGTTCAGGGTCTGTGTTGCTATTTAAGCTGTGAAGACGTCCCTTTGTCTGCCTGCCAGCAGCGGCCGCACAGCTAAAGGACAAACTCGCACCTACTTCTGGACACGGACACTGGTAACTCACAACCCTCAGACAATGATTGCTGAATTCGGCGGGTTTAGGGATTTTGGTTGCAGGCCTTACCCTCACGAATATAGCCACTGGCGGTGATGGCTGGGCGGGTGCTGTCGAGGCGAGGATGGTGATGTTGGTGATGATGATAAAGAAAATTATGAAGAGGAGTTGGTGGAATGGGGTCATGGAGATGGCAACCGATCTGTAATCGTATTGGTGAACATGGCGACAATGATTTGTGCGATGACGGTGATGATGACGTAAGGGTGACTGCGATGCTCATGACAACCATGTGATCATGACGATGATGCTGACGATGATCATCATCACCTGATGAGGGGGATGATGATGATGATGATGATGATGCTGATGATGATGATGATGATGGCACCTGTGGTCATGCTTGCAGTGAGGGCAGATATCATGCGATGGTGATGTACTGGTGAGAACGATGGGAATGACTCAGCTGGTGATGATAAGCACAAGCACTAAAAACCCTGATGATCATGATGATTATGATGATGGTGATTATGACTGTACTGATGCTTAACCTGCGATGTCACACTCTGTGTTGACGCCACTGATGATGATGATGATGACGATGAGGAAAAGGAGGAGGAGAGAGGAGGAAGAGGAGGAGGAGGATAAGAATAATAAGCAGCAGTACAAGCGACAGTCATCGTGATAGGAACCATGATGGTGATGGTGAGAGTGCTCGTGAAAGCTACAGTGATGGTGACAGTGATCGTGACGGGATGTTGATGGTGACCGCGACCGTGATTGTGATAGCGGCAGTGAAGATGAGTGTAGCGAGTCGTAGTGTATAGTGACCGTGTCCGTAACGGTGACAGCGGCGGTGAGAGCGACGGCGCCAATGATAGTCACAAATATAATAATGGTGACAGTGATGGTGTTACCGAAAGTGAAAGTCATAGTGATAACGACAACGATAGCGACAGCCACATGACAGGAATAGCGAAAGTAAAAGTGGGAGCGACGGTAACGTTGACAGTGACAGCGATAGCAAAGGTCACTGGGGCTGTGATAACGGTAGCGATAGTGATAACGGTGTGCCCCTGAATGTGATCGTGACACACACAGTGACGGTGACAGTGATAGTGCCAGTGAAAGTGACAGCGTGAGTGTGATGATAACACTGGTAGTGGTGAGGCTAGTGACAGTGATAGTGATGGTGATGGCGTGATGGTGATGGCGTGGTGGTGATGATGGTGACGGTGATGATAGCCATCATCACCAACATCGACATCGCCATCGACGACAACGCTGGAGCTGCCAGTGGTGGTCCTCATCATCACCACCGCCATCATCAACCACGTGCTGCCATCACCGTCACCACCATCGCCACTATCACCAGCAGCAGCATCATCCTCTTGACAACCATCATCATCGTCGTCATCATCAGGACCTATCGGAACCACTATCACGGTACAGATGCCTACAGGTGTTTGTGGCGGCCTTTGCCATGCCGGTGACGGTAGTGGCAACAGCAGTTTTATACCCTCTGTGTAAGTCAAGGAAAACAAGCCTGCAAAAAAGTCCAAGCTTCTTGAGTGCTGGAATAGGATTGCGGCGCTAAGACGCTTGCAATTTCCTGAAAGATGCTTTCCACTGCTTGGGCGTAGCTCTCCATCTCTGCATCGGTGAAGCTTCCTGCGACCCCCGCCACGGCATTCTCGTAAGGCACCACAGGCACAACGAAATCCTCGACTCTTCTTGAAGATAGGGAGCCAAAAAAGGACATAACTGAGCATAAGCATTTATAGGGATCTCCCTAGCTTGTTGGGATTCATAATAATTAACGGGGCTGACATGGGATAACTCTCTATCCTTATCTTTGCATGTGTGCTTTTGGGGGGCCCTAGAAGGGGATACATCGTGCATAGGCTTTCTGTTGCTACGGTACCGACAACTAGATTTCGTGACCAGAATCCGGATCCGCAATGATGGGAAGGATGGCTGGCTGCGGCGCAGAAAAAAGGCGGATGAGCCAGGATGCAAGATCCTCTGAATGGAAGCATCCGGAAGAGCACACCTGGACTTTGAAGTAACCGGGGAGAAAAAAGTATAGACCTTAATTTCATAATGGTTCCTTAAAGGAACAGGTACCAAAAAAAGTATTCAAGAATGGTACTCCAGAACCGAGACACAAGCAGCGCTTTCGAGGTGTTGCTCGGTAGCTCATCCCCTGCCTCCAACACCGAACTCGACATTCGCACTTGCTTGCACAGCTTCAGAAGCTCGAAGAGTACGTGCGCTGTTGCCACCGCTTCCTGATTGGCAGGATCCTGGGTATTTGATAGGTTCCAAAAAGTAGATGCCTTAATATTAATGAGGTTCCTGTAGAGTACCCTTAGTAGTATAGGGCGGGGATCGACTTTCTAGATCCTCCCGAGGGTCTTTGATAAAGGATTTAATTTAGTTTACCGTAATCAGGAAACCACAGTATTTACTATAGATCCCGATTATGGTAACTTAAGCCTTAAACCCTATACCCTTAAAGGAACCCTCATGAATCCCTTTCGGGAACCCTTGTAAATCCCTACTATGGTAACTCGAGATAACCTCCTTAACAAGAACCCAGTAGATCCCTTTATATAGACACTAAACTCTAAAGCCTAACCCTGAAAAGGAACCATCCCACTAAATTCCTTAAGAAGAACCCAGGATCGACGAGAATAATACAATCCGGGCGAGCCGTTCTCTCCAGGCACGGCCGCGCTGTTCCTGTGCTGTTCAGCAAGCGTCTGAGAAAAGTATATCTTGTCTTAGGGTAGTTGTATACATGTATAGAGAGATATATATATATATATATATACACTGTATATCTATTCTTCGGTTAGTTGTGTTCATTTTAGGAACCAGTGCCAAAAAATGCGAAAAAATGATGCCACTGAACATCCTAGGTTCCTGTCAATGCATCACACACTCTGCCAATGCCTAGGCGGCTCTTTCAGTCTGTTGCAGACGGCAGATCTGCCACGAATGTCTGAAACATCTTTCAAATCGGGGCCATTCTAAATCCTAAACCCTAAGCCCAAACCCTAAACCCTACTGTAGGAGTTATAAGTATAGTTACTACTGTACTTATAACCCCACTCATAACTACCCATGAACCTCCAAGTAGGCCTTCAAAGGAGAGAGCCTTGAAAAGAGTCCCCTATAAGAAGCTGCCGAACCATAACGCCGACCCCACGGTTGATGATATAACTCAGGGATCTATGAGGGTACCTTTAAGGGGCTCCTTTAAGGGATCTCTATATTGGGTTGGATATAGCTCCGGCATACCCATAATCAGGAGTATCCGTAATTCCCATAGTTTAGGGTCCTTGAGTGCAATCCAGGACTTATATCATCAACAGCATGATGGTTTAAGGTCTATTCCTGACTTGAGGGGCCATTGGGCTCTGTGATGAGGAACATACTTGGAGGTTCATGGGTAGTTATAAGTGAGTAGGGGTCCTTTATATAGGGGTTTTGTAGGGTTTAGGGTATAGGATTATAGGGTTTAGGGTTTAAGGTAGTTATAAGTGTTTCTTGGTAGGGTAACTATACTTATAACCCACATTGAGGGACTCGTAACTCCACTTATACCTATCCATGAACCTCCAAGTACCATAATTCCCATAGTTTAAGGCCCTTCAGGTAGTGCAGGATTTATATCGTCTAACCAGTGGTTTTGGGGTTCCGTGGGCTCTTTAGCTCCTTATTGAATAAGGACTATCATCATCCCTAGCTCCTTAGCTCCTCCAATGTCAAAGGTTAGTCATCACAGTATCTTCTGTGCCACCTCGGGAGCAGCTTGAAGCATCATCATCGGGCTTAACAAGTAAGGTCATACTTGGAGGGTCGGGGGACTTAGTAACTGGTTCTTTTAAGGACTTATAAATACGATAACCCCAATTAGGGTCCCGTTTTAGGGTACTTATAAGCCTACTTACTACCTACTTACTAAGTCTCCCGACCCTCCAAGTATTGGGACTTAGCATGTCAGGTCATACTTGGAGGTTCATGGGGCAGTTACAATTGGAGTTATAAGCCCCCTAATATGGGTTATAAGTATAGTTACCCTACTTATAACCCTACCCATGAACCTGCCAGTAACCACCTTATTCAGATCATAAGTACTTAAAAGTCTGGTTAATGTATTGAAGACCCTTGCTGCTAAGCCCCGAGATCCTCCAGGAGGATTTAGTAGGACGAAGGACTGCCAATTGCCGTTGAGGCACTCTCCAAATTCAAGCAGTGGGGGAAAGCGATGCATTCGAGGGTCCTCATCCAGCGCAGTGTCTTGCACACGTCGTCAACCGATATGCTGTAGGCCGTTAAGGCCTCAGTTGCCCAGTCGCATCTGAGCTACAAACCCAGTGAAGTTTTTCCTGGACCAAATGCTCTTAAATTCAATGAGCTTAAACAGAAACAATGATGGTAACATATTAGTCACAACAAGAGCAACGCGGCGAAACTAAAACGTTCCATATGCATGCCACGGGCCTCAATGCCTGGAATGGCAAACTCCAGTTTCTCGTACCTGGGCTCGAACCTAAACCCTAAGCCGTAAACCCAAAGAAATAGTCAGACTAAACCTCCAGTCGCAAAGATTTTGCAGTTGAGAATTCGGAGCTCATATTCCAAAGACACATTAGAAGCCAACCCCTCAACCCTAAACCCTAAACACCTGCCCTTGGAGCAAAGTTCTGAACACTGTACCTCTCAATTCCTAAACAAGCCGCTAAACCACAGGTCTAAAGTAGACAATCCTCAACCCAAACCCCCACACAGGGTTTGTGTTTAGGGTTTAAGGTTGAGGGTTTCAGGTGCAGGGTTTAACCCCTGTACTCAATAAAAGAAAGGCCATCCACCCCTACGCTTGGGTGGTTGTCAAATTTGGGTCCTTAATATAATACGGCACTTAATATGTAGGATACCCAAAAAGGGATCCCAATTTTGACAACCACTCACTTGACATGAAGGTGCATCATCGCAGTAGGGTCTGCGAAGTTTGGCCACCTCACCATTACGGTGTGTACCTGCCATCGCCGTCCAGGTTAGGCGGGCTCAGGGTTTGGGGTTTCGGGTTTCTTTTAAGTGCAATAGCTCTTTCCCAACTCCGCACGCAGAGCAGGTCTTGAGCCTGCCTTGCATTAGGGTTTAGGCTTTCCTTTAGGAAGCATGAAGGCTTTGAGATTCGGGGCTTTGGTGGCTTGATAGAGTTGCAAACTCTTCAACTGCAAAGCGGAGCTGGAATTAGGCTGCAGAAGCCCGCTCTGTCTGAGAATTCGTAGGTTCGGAGTTATGACTTTACCTGTAGCCGAAAAGACCTACCTCTTTAAGGAACTGTATATAGAAACCATAAAAAGGGATTCCCAAAAAAGGCAAGGCACGTTGTGTAGCTTGGCAGTTACGATCTCGCCAACACACCACTTGCGGGCCAAAATCCCCGGACTTGCGAGGACGACGCAGGTCTCGGTGTCCCTTACCTGGGCTCTTCTTGGCGGTGTCTACAAGGGAGCTTCCGAACATTAGGGGTACCTTATTTTGGGGTCCTTCTAATAAGGATCCTACTATTGTACTCGGGTCCCCTATTGTCGGAAATTCCCACGACGGTTTTGGGTTTAGGGTTTGCTCCTGTTTAAGGCGGTATTCCACGATGTAGAAGTTATGACTCTCTGGTGCTGAGTAGGGAATGCGGGAATGGATCCCTATAGTAGTCGCTATAAAATCATCAATGATAGCCTCCGTAATCCATTCTCCCATTCCCTACTAAGAACCAGACAGAAGAAGATGTTCAAAGCCTAGTTACGAAGCTGTCTTCAGGTGATACCAATTGAACCAAAAACTTGAAAGCCCAAACCACGACCAGCAAACCGAGTATCCAAGTTCCGCAAAGGAATGATCCTAAGCAAAGAACACTAAAACCTTAAACCACAAGGCCCTAAACTTTAAACCCTATAGAAACTTCCAGGAACAGTTTTATAGAACCCCCCCAAACTCAAAAGCAGAAACCTTAAACCATAGAGCCCGGAACCCTAAGCCCTATAGAACCCTTCGACAACATCTTTATAGAGCCCCTTTATTCTACTTGGAGGGTCGGGGGACTTAGTAGGACATATAATTACCATAACCACAATTAGGGTCCCGTTTAGGGTACTTATAAGTCTACTTACTACCTACTTACTGAGTCCCCCGACCCTCCAAGTAGAACACCAAAAACTCCAAGTTGCGAAGCCGAAGAGTTCCGTGAGATCACGAAGATTGTCTGTGTCCAAGAAGACGCTGAAGCCATATCCGCTCCTAAGGATTTATTAGTACTAGAAGCAATAATGATCATAGCAATAATCGTACAAATAATCATCATGGTAATAATTATAGGATTTAAGGCTTTAGGGTGTACGGTTTTAGGGTTAAGGGTTTAAGGCTTAGGGTGTGGGCTTCGGGTTTAGAGTTTAGGGCTTAGGGTTTTAAAGATTAAAATAAGGTTTAGGAGGGTTGGTTCGGTTTAGAGTTGCAAGAATGTCTTCAAAGTTGCTAGTGGGCCCAACTAGGGTTTAGGGTCTTAGGGTCTTAGGGTTTACGGGTCTTAGGGTTTAGGGCTTAGGGTTTAGGGTCTTAGGGTTTAGGGCTTAGGGCCTTAGGGTTTAGGGTCTTAGGGTTTGGGGCTTGGGGCCCTACTTAGGCTTAGCCAGGTCCGCTCCAGGCTGGTTGAGAAGCACCTGAATTTGGGGTTGTTAGGAATTATTTGGGGCTTTCCGAAAATCAGGGGGTTCCTTTAAAGGGCTACTACTATAAGAGTACCATAAGGGTCCCTTTCAAGGGTTACAACAACGGTTCTATTAGGGTTCCCATTTTAGCGCTCTATAAGGGTTTAGAGCTTCCGAAAGGTAGGGGTACCTTAGTTTTGGGGGTCCTTTATAATAAGGATCCTACTACTTAGGGTACTATATTAGGGTCCCCCATTTTCGGAAACTCCCATTTAGAAGTATGGTGCCCTTGTTTGGAAACCTACTTACTAAGTCGCCTGTGCCTTTAAGTCTGGTGCCCCATGTAGGGTTCATTAACGGGTTCCTGAAGATGTCCATGATTTTGCCGAGGGTTTTTGATCACCTTGATATAAGTTGTCTTTGGGTTCTAGGGAAATTAAGGTCTCCTTTTCCTTCTGCACATGTTTCAATCAGGAGGCCCCCAAACTGAAACACAAATGGTGTAAGGGTAGTCCCCCTAATAATGGGTCATGATTCTAGTCAACCCTACTTATCACCCCACGTATGTCTGTGCATGAAGCTTCTCAGATAGCCCAATACCCCTTAATTATGGAATATGCTGCATACCGTATACCATAAGATTAATGCCCCATTTAATTTGAAGGCATATTCCTTAATTAAGGGTATGAGGCTCTCCGGGTCCAAGTTTGGAAGCCTCAAAAGGTGGGATGAAGGTAGGTAGGATTGAGGATCCCGTATGTAAAGACTCGTATTCTGTGAGGCCCCCGACAAGTACTCAGTAACCCTAAGCCCTTAACCCTTAACCCTAAGCCCTGAACCCTAAACCCTAAACCCTCAACCCTCAACCCTGAACCCCGAACCCTAAACCCTCAACCCTGAACCCTTAACCCTAAACCGCTTGGGGGCCAAGGCGCTGTTGCAGCTGTATCTTCAAAAGCCTCGCGAAGCTTCCGGCAGCGCGCTTGTGATGAGAGAGGAAGAAACGCCAGGGCTTCCTTCGTTGGCTGAGGCCCGATAATCTCTAAACCCTATAAGCCCTAAGCCCTAAGCCCTATAAGCCCTATAAGCCCTATAAGCCCTATAAGCCCTATAAGCCCTATAAGCCCGATAGGCCCTAAGCCCTAAAGCCTAAGCCCTATAAGCCCTAAACCCTAAAAGCCCTAAACCCTAAACCCTGTAAGCCCTTTTGCCCTCAACCCTAAGCCCTAAAGCCTAAACCCTGTAAGCCTTAAGCCCTGTACCCCAGAAGCCCTAAACCCTAAACCCCGTAAGCCCTCAGCCCCGTACCCCAAGCCTCAAACTGCCTTAAACCCTAGCACCCAAACCCCAAAACCACGGCTTCCTCCGGTGGCGAAGGATGTAGAGGCCCAGCCCAAAGCCCTGTAAGCCCTAAACCCTATAAGCCCTAAGCCCTATATAAGCCCTAAGCCCTAAACCCTATAAGCCCTAAGCCCTATATAAGCCCTAAGCCCTAAACCCTAAACCCCATAGCTTCCTCCGTTGGCGAAGGATGTAGAGGCCCAGCCCATAGAGCATCGTTGCGACGATCGCGGTTACCATGATCAGGATGAAGACCAAAGAAATCCTGGGCTCAAGTGACGGAACATCCCAGAGAGCCCAATACCCCTTAAACAAACAAATATTCCCTAAAACCATAATAGTAAGGCCCCTATAACTTAAGGTATATTCCTTGATTAAGGGGTATTGGGCTCTCTGGGTTATGTTTGAGCTACCAGAATAGGGTTCGGGTTTAGGGTTTAGGATTTGGGGTTTAAGGGTTTAAATTACCAGAATCGGGAATCTTAGTAAATAACAGTGTTCCCTTGGTATGGTGAGTGAAACTCAATTCCTTAACGAGAGCCTAGAATCATGGTTGCCATTACGAGGCCCACGGTGCCAACCTCGTGACCCGCGAACATGGAGGCCATATACAAGACCACCTTGTCGTAGGGTTTAGGGTGTAGGGTTAAGCGCGACGGCTTTGGCATTTACGGTACAGAAATACCTCTAAGACCGAGTCCCTGCTTAACACTTCTTCTAAGGCCTAGGGGTGTAATATCGGGGAGTTGAACTTGTTGGTGGGGTTCTTGTCATATCACAGTGTAGCTACAATGACAAACTCTAAGGACTAATAGTTCCAGCCATATCATAGCAAAGTTAAAGTCACAATGAACAACTCTACGAGATAACACTGCTATATCATGGCAAAGTTAAAGTCACAAACTGATAACTCTACGAAATAACCACTGCTAATGATGAGGCAGAACAACTCTACTATACTGAACTTAGAACCCTAGCAAAAATTATAAATTTAGCTGTTTCTTAGGATTTAATAACCAAAAATTGAAATTTATTTCTATGTACCCCTAAGTCTACGAGATAACACTGCTAATAATGAGGCAGCTCAGACACGAGCAGACCAACGTGCAGGAGCACGTCCAGAGCATTGCTTGCCGGCACGCGCCAGGGTTGGCTCAGCCTCGACTTTTTTGGGTTCGGCCCCTGGGCTTCGGGTTCAGGCCTTAGGGTTTGGGGTTTAGGCTTTAGGGTTCAGGCTTTAGGGTTTGGGGTTTAGGCTTTGGGGTTCAGGCCTTAGGGTTTGGGGTTTAGGCTTTAGGGTTCAGGCCTTAGGGTTTGGGGTTTAGGCTTTAGGGTTCAGGCCTTAGGGTTTGGGGTTTAGGGTTTAGGGTTCAGGCCTTAGGGTTTCGGGTTTAGGCTTTAGGGTTCAGGCTTTAGGGTTTGGGGTTTAGGGTTTAGGGTTTTTGGGGTTTGTGGTTGGGGGTTGGGGTTTAGGGTTTAGGGTTAGTGTTTGGGGTTTAAGTTTGAGGAATATACTGGACCAGGAATGAAAACCATGTTCAAGAGCGGCCTAGTGGCGTCGTGGCTATCAAGCTCGAGTAAAGGAGCACATTCAGCACCACCAGCTTAATGGACAAGGAGGGAAGCAACGGGCACAGCACAATAAGAGCGTTTCCTGGGATTGTGTCAGAAAGCTTCATCGAGAAGTTACCCTGATCCTTTAATTCTGCGATCCTACCTCCTGAGGATCCACAAGGGTACCTGAACAAACGATAAGGTTGGGATATCATACAGATGCCTTCTTAAGCAGGCCAATACAGAGGGTTCGGGGCGAAGGGTTTCGCGAGTGTGCTCCAAGCGGCGGCAGAGAAAGAAAATCGAGAAGCGCTCTGCACCAGGTCGAAAGCGCATCCAGAGGAATGAGCAAGCTCTAAAGTACCTGAGTTGTCCCTTAAGCCCTTTGACGATTATCTACTATTATGGTTCTCTACAAAATAGTAGGGGATATTAAAAAAGATCCCAAAGGACAACCCAGGTACACAGCATCGGCACGCCGCAACCAGCGGGGGAGCTTTACAAAGATGATCCAGAAGCAAAGGCTAAGGAAGCAGAGCGGCATCAAGCATGCTGCCGCACCGATCCTGGGGGTTCTTGGAGGGTCGGGGGACTTAGTAACTGGTTATTTTAGGGACTTACATATAAGTACAATGACCCCAAGTAGGGTCCCTTTTAGGGAACTTCTAAGTCTACTTACTACCTACTTACTAAGTCCCCTAAAGACCCTCCAAGTTGTCTTCGAGAGCTCAGTCTAGGCTATCACAACAAGGGAGCCACAGAGGTTCCTATATCTCCTGTTTTGGGTTTAGGGTTTTCTTCTGAACCTAGGATACCCAGTAACCTAAGAATAAAAAGGCCTCTCTTTTTGGTATTGGGTAACTTTATAAGGAACCTAGGACTACAAAAAGGGAATAAGGGTACTACTGGGCATCCTAGGAACTTACATCATGGCACCTAGAACTCCTTCAAGAAGCTAGCTTTTTCACGCTCTCGGACATGGAAACTAAAACCATTACCGTCATAAGATGTTAGCGAAGTCCCAAACAAATCAACTTCCTCAACAAGACCCCAGGCTCAGGCTCATTTGTAAGTGTTCGTTTTCCAAGGTGCAGAACACCGAACCGTACTCTTGCACAGTCCTTGGATCTGGTAGGGTTGAGAGAATCGGTTTTAGGGGTAAGGGTTTAGGGTTTGGGGTTTAGGGTTTAGGGTTTAGGTTTAGGGTTTCGGGTTTAGGGTTTGGGGTTTAGGGGATGGGGTTTAGGAATTAGGGTCTGCAATTTGAAGTAACCAGGGGGAAAAAAAGTATAGGCTCTTATTTCATAATGGTTCCCTTTAAGGAACAGGTCCCAGAAAAAAGTATTAAAGCATGGTACTCCTAAGCCTAGGATTAGGTTTAAGGTTTAGGCTGGAGAGCTTAGGGATTAGGGTGCAGGACTCAGGAATTAGAGGGCTGAGGGACAAAGAACCCTAAACCCCAAACCCTTAAGCCCGGCAGCCTAAACCGCCAAGTTCTAAAATCCCATCGAACCCTCCTAGAACCCGCTTTGCGTTTTGCTTAGAGAATCATAGAACCCCTGAAAGGAGCCCAAGGATCATGCGGCCATTTGGGTGCAAGTTGCACTGAAAAGGTGCCACCAAAGACGTGAAGATGCTGATAAATAGGATCCCGATGAGGGACCCGACGGTGCGAAGGAGCTGGCTAAAGTCCAGCCTCACACGAAGTCCCTGCTTGATGTACTTCTTGAAGGCAAGCGCTGATAGATGCAGTACCACGGCGATCGCTGCAAGAATGGGCGTAGCAGACACAGTCAACACATACTTCAAGACGGGGCTCACACTGGCGATACATGAAAGAGAAATCATGTCCAAGTCCACGCCAAAAACCGCCAATAGCTCCAGATACTCTTTCAAAGGCTCCTGCCACTCAATGCCCAGATTTCGGACAACCACAAGTTGCTGAACCAGTGTCAGGAGCTGGCTCGCTGCAACGACGCCCACAAAAGTGTGCCCGGGCTGCGTCGCCTGCTCGGCGTCCATGACCTAGGTTTAGGGTTTAGAGTTAGGTTCCACAGTCACCCCATTCAAAAAAACAAAACTTGATCCGACTTTCAATTTCAATAAGCATTTCAATAAGCAGACCCTCTAAATCCTAAACCCCTAAACCCTACTTTCAGTTTCAATAAGCAGACCTCACAAGAAATGGAAAACGGATACTCCTGGGAGTGCCGGTGACTAAGACGATGTAGAGCAATGCAACGCCGAACCTTTGTCGGGTTTTCGGGGCGTCCAACTTCGGTGCGCTTGCAAAAAGAGTTTCCGTAAAGGTAACAATGGCGCTAGCAAAGATTACAGAAAGGCTACTATAAGAATACAAAAAGGGCATGTGGATTACGACTGGATCACCCGAAACCACTGAACAACCCATTACGGCTACCGCTACGAAGACAGCGGCAACAGCCGGCTACTGCTGCTGCTTATGCTGCTACTGTTCTACTTCTGCTGCTGCTTCTTCGTGTCCCGCCTGCCAATGACCAATACGGCGTCCGCTACGGAACACTACCAACACTACTTACTGCTGATTGGGTTTGATATCAGTGACTACCACCAATCAAGCATGGTCAAACCCAAGGAACACCAGGAAAACAACGGCGATTGCAAAGGCGAGGTAGGAAGTGCCGCCGCAGGGTCCACAGGAACCGTTGTCCAGCGGCCGCAGTCCGGGGAGACACCCATGACACCTCTTGCTTCAGCGGCCCAAAGAATCTAAAGAGCTGTGCCCAAAGAAAACGAGTTTACTTCATATCGTACTAGAGATGCCTCATTGATTTGAAAGGTATTCCTGACCGATGTCTAGTTCCTTGGGTGGTGGTAGTAGTAGCAGCAGCCATAGGAGTCGTAGAAGTTGCAATAGTAGTCGTCGTCGCCGTCGTAGACTAGTAGTCGTCATCGTCGTAGAAGTCGCCGTCGTAGTTGTAGTCGTAGTCCGAAACGGTAGCCGTGGTCGTAGTAGAAGTAGTAGTAGTAGTAGTAGTAGTAGTAGTAGTAGTAGTAGTAGTAGTAGTAGTAGTAGTGGTGGTAGTAGTAGTAGTAGTAGTGGTAGTAGAAGAAGAAGTAGTAGTAGTAGAAGTAGTAGTAGTAGTAGTAGTAGTAGTAGTAGTAGTAGTAGTAGTAGTAGTAGGAGTAGGAGTAGTAGTAGTAGTAGTAGTAGTAGTAGTAGGAGTAGTAGTAGTAGTAGTAGTAGTAGCAGGAGTAGGAGTAGGAGTAGGAGTAGGAGTAGGAGTAGGAGTAGGAGTAGGAGTAGGATTAGCAGCAGTAGCAGTAGCAGTTGCAGCAGCAATAGCAGTAGCAGCAGCAGCAGCCGTAGCAGCAGCAGCAGGAGCAGCAGGAGCAGGAGTAGTAGCGGTAATGGAAGCAGTCGCAGTAGCAGTAGCAGCAGCAGTAGGAGGAGCAATCGCAGTCGCGGTGCAGTCGCAGTCGCAGTCACGGTCGCAGTCGCCGTAGCAGTAGCAGCAGCAGCAGCAGTAGTGGGAGGAGTAGTAGTCGTCGACGTCGTCGTCCTCGTGGGTGGTGGTGGCGGCAGCGTTGGTGGCGGCGGCTAGGAGTACGTAGGAGGAGTATGCGTAGCAGAACTAGCAGCAGAAGGCTTGGGAGGGTATAGGGTTCGGGTTTTTAGGGCCTTGGCTCTACACAGCCGGGTCACGTCACAGTTTCAGGATCACGGCCAGGTGCACAGGAACCGGCAGGCCCGCCCGAGCAGCGAGAGGATCGTCCAAAGCATCTGTAAACCATGCCTTCGCTCTGCTTCTGTCTCGGTACACCAAACCCTAAACCCGGCCTAACACCCCAATCCCAAACCCCATAAACCCTGTATCGTGTCTATATATACAATACCGAGAACCCGAAATGGCTGACTAGCAAATCCTCATCTCCTGCATTTTCAGTTTTGGCGCAGCCGTAGTTTCTCCACCAAGCAACCAGTTTATCTTAAGCCTTTCATATGAACGCAATAGGATTCAGAAGTGTCTAGCTTGGCTTGAATTGGGAAGGGTCCCTTTAAGATCGTCTGAAAGGCTTACAAGAGTTTTTTAAGGGTTTGCAACCGAGTGCGCGGGTGACAGGCTTTTTGCCCCTCGAACGACAAACGGTCGCGAAAGACCCCTAAACCCTAAACCCTGAAACCGTAAGCCCTAAACCCTAAACCCTAATCTCTAATCCCTAAACCCTAAACCCTGAAACCCCAAGCTCTAAACCCTAAACCCTACTCCCTAAACACTACACCCTAAATCCGCAAATACCCAAACCTGGGACTGGAGCTGAAACCGCTGCTTGTGGCCGTCGGGCTTCGAAGGGTTTCTAAAGTAAGGCTCCTAAGGGTCTGAGGCTTTAGGGCGCTTACTTGGAGGTTCATGGGTAGATATAAGTAGGGTTCTAAGTCCCCTAATATGGGTTCTAAGTACGGTTACCCTAATTGTAACCCTACTTATAGCCACCCATGAACCTCCAAGTAGGATGCCTTGAAGGAGCCTGTGTTGCGGGCTGTTGTTGCTTCTACGAGCTTCTTAAAGGGCTTAGGGTTCAGGGCTTAGGGCTTAGGGTTTAGACTTGGGGCTTGTTTAGGGTTGCGGGCATTCGGGCTTTGGGGTTAGGGAACACTGGCTTTTTCAAGCCTTGAGCAAAACACATCATCGCGACTCCTGGGCAAGCCCGTGAACTCGAAACCACGCGACAAGATACCTTCATGGTGGCTCGCAGAAAGTCTACACTGGCTTTGTAAGTGGCTGGTTTCCTTTTCGCACTGTCTTCAGAAGCTGCCCTAAACCCTAAACCCTAAACCCTAAACCCTAAACCCTAAACCCTAAACCCTAAACCCTAAACCCTAAACCCTAAACCCTAAACCCTCAACCGTATGTCACAAAACGCACAACACACCGGGAGACGCCCCAACTTTCGGGGACTTGGAGGGTCGGGGGACTTAGCAACTGGTGATTTTAGGGACTTAAAGTACCATAATGTAGGGGCCTTAATAATTAGAATAGGGTTTTGGGGCCCATTATACTATAATTATATTAAGGAACCCCCACCATAATATTGGTAATTATTTAGGCTCCTACATTAACCCCAATGAGGGTCCCTTTTAGGGTACTTATAAGTCTACTTACTACCTACTAAGTCCCCCGACCCTCCAAGGATGGGGTTCAGGGAGAACCCCAAACCCCCAACACCCCTTGAACCCCAAACCCTGAAAAGGACCTTCAAAACATAGTGGACGAAAAGCCGTAAAACAACTTGTAGACCCGACACTCCCAAATCCTGAAGCCCTGACTTCAGAGAAACACTTACACAATCGCAACAGACACCCGAAAACCCACCACCCTGCATGGTGTTTCAACCCATTCTCTTGCGGCTAAGAGTCCCGGCTCCTTTGCGCTTGTGTTTGGAAGCCCAATATGTGGGAAAGTATGGGGCGTCTGGATTTTTAAAAACATTGTTGGGGTTGTTTGTCGCTCAGAGCTTCGTTGGGGGCTACTGGCGTTTAACAGCGTACGTTGTGAAGTTTGGCGCTATGCGGCCTCATAGTTTGACTGGGGGGTTTTCGGAAAATTGCAGTCTGAGTAAAACATTCAAGAGCCCGAAGGGATTGTATATATTATTGTTGTTATGATTATGGCGATTATTATGATTATTGCTATTATATATTGGAACTCCTTCATGCTTCTATAACATCTACATGCTTGCGGTGTCCGGGTGCGAGAGCCCCCCATCTAGGAGCTTACTTAGAGGATCATGGGACTTAGTCTAGTAAGGTTATAAGTAGGTTATAATTAGGATAACCCCACTTAGGGGACTTATAACCCCAATTATAACCTACTTACTAAGCCCCATGATCCTTTAAGTATATCCTGTAAGCCCGCCACCGTTCACCGTTCGGCGCACGATTCGCACAGTGTACCGAACTGCCCAGAGACTCCAATGTGCCTTAATTAAGGAACATACCTTAAAATAAAGTAGGAGCTCTGATATGATTTACGGTATATTCCTTAATTAAGGGAAGAATTCTGGGTATTACTAGGATCCCTGATGACCTGGAAAAAGGGCTCCCTTTTTGGGTCTGGTTGGTTTTTGGTGGGGAGCCTGAGACCACAGAAAGGAAGAAGAGGGCCCACTGGAAGACCTAGAGTACGGCGGCTCAGGAGAAGTGGATGTGCTTTCGGGGTCGTTGAACAAGGCGGCCAGTCCCTGCTTTCGTTGAAACCACCCGTCGGCTTTGCCAGACATTTTCTTCTGGAGTTCGTTAGGTACTGGGAGTCATTTGTTGCCGTCAGAGTTTGCTAGGTCTCTTCAAACTTCTACGGCAAGAAAACCCTGCAGCACAGCTGCTGTTCGCGCATGCCGCACAGACACCCTTCCCACCGGCCAATGAGCATCATCACAATAATAGGAATAATCATCACCAGCATACGGATACTGACGCTACAACTACATGCTGATTCTGTAAGAACATGAAGATGTATGAATGATGAGGTTTTTCACTAAAGATGCCAGTTAGACAAAGATCAAACCCACTTGGGTCCTCCAGGGACCCTCTGGTTTAGAATTCAGGGATTACTTGGAGGGTCGGGACACCTAGTAAGCAGGTAGTAAGTAGACTTGTAAGTACCCTACAAGGGACCCTAATTGGGGTTATGGTACTTATAAGTTATAAGTCCCTAAAGTAACCAGCTACTAAGTCCCCCCGACCTTCCAAGTAGGGTTTCGGTCTTGCGGTTTAGGAAAACCATAGAGGGAATTGCATCACAATAGAAAAGGCCCTTCGTAATCAGTGCAGGACCGTGTTTGGGGTGTAGGTATAACACACCTCAGTTCAAGTATATGGTGTCTATAACGGGATACTGTCACTAGTTAACTAGTCCGGCCCTACTTGAGGGGCCTAAACAGTACTAACGCTGTTTTGGGGGGTTCCTTATTATAATTATAGTATACTGGACACCCCTGTTCTAATTATTAAGGCCCCAATAAGTACTATAGTTCTTCTAGATCGCTTAGAGGTATCCCCTATAGAACCTTTTGAAAAAGAACCCTATTCTGATTATAAGGCCCTACATTATGTTACACTAAAGCCGTCCTCCAGGGTGGAGTAGTAGCCGGGGAGGAGTCGAAGACGACTCCCGATGCACTCTGAGCCCCGCAAGCACCGCTCGCAGAGCCCATGCTTGTTCAGAAACCTTTGAGGTTTCGGGTTTCGGGTTTAGGGCAGTTTCAAGACTTTGAAGTAACCAAGGGGAAAAGTATAGATAGACTTGTGTTTCATAATGGTTCCCTTTAAGGAACAGGTCCCAGAAAAAGTATTAAAGTATGGTACTCCAAAGCCTAGGTTTAGGGCTTAGGGGTTTCGGGGTTCAGGGGTTTAGGGTTTCGGGTTTAGGTGTCGGGTTGCCTTTGCGGTTGTGGTTTGGGGTTTGGGGTTTGGGGCTTAGGGCTTGGGGGTTTCCTTACCGGGTTCGCTTAAGGCTTAAGGCGTCCCATGTGCGGTTCCTTGATTGAAGGGTTCCTTCAAGGGTTCAAGGAAAAATGTCGGATTTGGGGCGTTCGGGCTCTCGGGCTGTGAAGCATCTGGTGCTGAAGCCCTAAACCCTAAACCCCTAAATTAAGCTGGCCGGGGTTTAGGTGTAGTGCGCATGTAGGGCCCAGGCTCTGGGGCTTAAGGGGTCAGGATCTATCTAGGGTATAGGATTTCGGGCTGAGGGTTTAGGATTTCGGGCTGAGGGTTTAGGATTTGGGGTAGGATTTCGGGTTGAGGGTTTAGGATTTGGGGTTTGGATTTCGGGTTTGGGGGTTAGGGCATCCATCAACTAATCGGAAGAGAGCGATGCGTTGCAGGCTTCAGGGCAACAGCGAGCATGAAAGAGCTCTACTTTACACCCCCAACTAAACCCTGTAAAGGACCTGAGGCTCAAATCTCAAGGACAAACCCTTAGTAACGGAGAATTTTGGGGTCTCCAGCCATCCCAAACTTCTTAGTTACGGGATACAGTAAACCTCAGATCATGACAGGGTTCCCACTACTAAAGTATAATGCTTAGTTTAAGAATATACCTTAGATCATAACAGGCTTTATATTATAGCTGCAGGTATACTCCTTAGATTACGCCGTTGTGGAGTCTCTGAGTACGAGACGCTATACCCCAATCTCACACCTCAGAGCAAAAGTGGATTAGGCCTAATGATCGGAGTAGGGGTTTGGGGGTACATTGTACCCTAAGTCTGATAAGGAGGCCTAAGGGCTGGTACAGTAGAAGCCAATAAGTTGGAAACCCACCAGCCTCAACCCCTAAGATGAAATACATTGTCAATTCGGCAGTAGAATCTGACTTCACCACGCCACTCCCTTACACCAACGATGAGTCCTCGAAGCTCTGCCGGCAAGACAACGTCGAAATCTGCGACACCTAGCAGTGGCTGCGTAGAATTGAAGCCGAACATCATGATCGGCAATAGGGGAGGTCTGAGAACGGGAGTCGGCGTCCAGTTTAACCGGAGGTTCGCCGGCACGACGAGGAGCATGCTCAACTGGTGAATGTCCGCGCAGATCCACCTGGCCGAGCTTAGGAGTTGTATCATGCTCCTCAGGCGAGCCGACACTAGAAGGTCGGGCTGATCGATGTCGACTACTAAGCCCTGCCAGTTGTTCTTGTCGCGGACCACGTTCAACATTGTGGACGGCGCAGAAGCCAGCGCATGGAGATAGGTGTGATCGAAGTAGAAGGATGGCAGGCGCTCAATTACTTCCACTGGCAGGATAACACCACCCCCACCACAGCGATTATTTTGATAAGCAACATGCGCTGCATCTGCCGGCGACCGGCCGAATGCCAGCATAGCTGGGCTTGTATCGGCCAGGCCTACTACAGGATAAACCAAATTGTAATGTCACTTGGAATCTATGGATGCAGCAGCAATGAAGCAGGCCTGCTGCATCAAAGGCAAGGTAATGCTCACGCATGAACGCGGCCGCCATGGGTAGGAGCCTTGGAGTATAGGAGTCGCAGACTGATCTACGACATGCTGCTCGCACACTGCAGTTAAGCAGCAAAGATGAAATTGGAGCGCTTATGAAGTGGACAGGCACAAAGATGCAGACAAAGGCAGGAATGCAAAGTACTTATGCGTGGCACGCAGTTCCCATGCGAATTAGGGTTCTTGTCCACTGGACGCAGCGAGATGCCACGCCTCTGCAACAGACTGCTATATCTGGTCTCAGGAGAACTGGTGTTCTTGTCAATTGTATGCAGCAACATGTCAGTCCTCTGCGACAGACCGCCATCTCTGGCTAATATGGACCAACTCGAGAGAGAGGCGTTCGCCTGCCGACATGGATAGGAAGCTTCTAATCGACTGTAAGCCGTCAAGAGGTACTATTGAGTTTTCATTTAGCCGGAACAAGGCTGTCAACATACGTGGCGCTGGCTTGCCCGGCATTCACAGAAGCTTGCATAAAAGAACTTGAGGCATAGCTATGAGAACTCTCATTGATAGAAGCCGATCCTATGATTGGCCAGGATCTATGATTGCAAGAGCCAATGCCAAACCCTTGCAACACATAAGATCACAGGGTAAAGTCCTGTCATCTCCGGCGTTGCCATCATTGCCTGCGTAGTTGTCTTGTCATCAGCCATGCAAAGAGCTTGCCAGTGCCGACAGGTATTGACGAGCTTCGGACCATATTCTCGTCGAAAGCGACGGTGATTTCAACAAGGTTTATGCGGTATGTTCTATGCAGTGCGCAATGGCAGCTCCTCCATATCGCAGTAAGATGTGTAGTAGTCGTGCGCAGAGGCAACATACTTTTATCCAGAAACCATCTTTACATCCGGTGTTACGGTCTGCAAGCGGATATCCACCTTACATCAACACGCGCGGGCCTGATTGACACATGGTTGCGAGATCCCGACCTGACGACGAGACAGACTCCACACGTTAACCTGATCCTCATATAAGAGCTCATGAGCTGCTTCCTCACAGAGTGAACATCCCGATTCAATGCATCTCTTTGCTCGGACTCAGCCATTTGCCGAAGATCCAGCAGAGGGGGAATGCCAACCTTATGCCGTCGCAAGATCCGTGATGTCATCTGATTCTAGCACGTACGATGACTCATCCATCGATCTGAGCCATCAAGCTTTACGAAGCAAAAAGCCACGACGGCCAGTGCCGCCGACCCTGCTTCATCGGACCCTCGTTTTTCCACCGGGCCGCGCGGGACCTCGCCCGGAGGCCTTTCGGAACACGCACGCGTTTCGCAGCCATTCCCATGCTATGGCGGGATTTCGGGCGCCCGTGGACGACCCCACAAAATTGCATGGGCAGCAGTGCCTCTAACATACGAGTGTTCTCGATAATGAATTTGATTCCACTTCAGGCAGAGACCCAAGGTTACATGAAGTTTTCCAGTTGTCTGTGTCAAGGCCAACAAGTGTATCATTCTATGTATATACATACGAAGTTTCTCCATTTGATCTCATAAGTTGTTCCGAGTTGAGTAGTCCAAATAATTACTCCTACGATGGCCTTGCCTACAGCTTGTAAATCCATGAATTTCACGCGAATAGATCTGCACATACTTTGTAGAATCTCACACACGATCACGCTGCTGCTTCACGTCCCTATGAACAGGCCCAGGTGCCTTTCCAACTCGGTCCACTTTCACCTGGCACACACACACACACACGTCACGTGCAACAACCAGTACTGGATGGAAGAGCCTATATCATGAGGCAGCACATGCATACAGTTTTCTTCGCAGATGCCCGCGCATCTAAGGCTTGCCCGCCAGCGGTGCCCAGGCACAAGTCCCGGCCTTTGGTCGGTGTGCCTTTGTCGCACTCTTGAAACCCCTACGCAGTTGTTCACAGGCTTCGCAGCATCTCGGGTCCGTAGTAAGGAAATCCGGATACAAATTACCATGAACATCCGGTTTGCCTCGATGATTTGGCGCGGGTTCGCCCGGAGGGATAAAGGATCGCGGTTCGCGTGCGCGTTTTCCTTTAGGCTTGCCCTCTGCAGAAGCTTTGCCGGACACCTTAGGTGTGACAGGGACTGCGGTCGTCAAAGTCGGGGCGGGGGGAGGCCGGAGGGGACCTGACTTGGGCGGGGGTGAAACAGCCGCCACAGGAGAGGGTTTACCTGTCGGTGGCGACACTTTTGGGCCCTTAGCTTAGCTGTGCTGGCTTGCGAAACCTCATCCTTTTCGCTCTCGCTCCCACTGGACTGCCGCAGTGGAGAGCCCGAGGAAAAGAATGAAGAACAGGGAATCCCAGCACTATTTGGCAAATTTCCGGTTTCCAACTTTTCGGGGTCTACTATAGTACTAGTTCAGAAGTCTAGGACCGGGTTTCCTGGTACATTACTTGTAGGGTCGGGGGACGTAGTTAGTAGGTAGTAAGTAGACTGATAAGTACCCTAAAAAGGGACCCTAACTCGTGTTATGATACTTATAAGTCCCTAAAATAACCAGTTACTAAGACCCCCGACCCTCCAAGTATAATACCCCATAATACCGTATAGTACCCCAGAGATCCCCTTGAAAGGAACCCTAAACCCCTATTAAGGAACCCTAAAGACCTCCAAGTATACCCTAAACCCTGAACGTTAAGTCTGATAAGGAAGCCTAAGGGCTAGTACTACTACCTTAACCTACCGAACCCTACTTTTTGTAGGTTCCAATTATAAACCCTAACATGGAATGTATAGGGACGCTACTTTTCTGTAGGTTTTGGTAGGTTAAGGTAGTTCAGAAGTCTAGAATCTAGCATACACACACACCCAGCACAACTCAAAAATAATCCCAACCTCGCATTGAAGAGCACTTAATAACGGGGCCTTTAAATATTTTAGAATAGGGTTTCGGGGGCCTATGATACTGTAACTAATTACACTAAGGAACCCCGGAAATAGTCTCAAGGTCATTACTCAAGCCCCTATGGCAAAGAAATTCTGGAGATCCTTTAAGTTAGGGGCCTGGGTTTGAGTTTTTCGGATCCTTTAACGGTTCCTTCAATTAGAGGGTCTGTCAGGATAGGTCCCGACAGGTCTAGGGTTTAAACACTTTCTTTACGGTTAAGTTGCAGACAAGTGGCCAACCTTCCACACAGCTGCAAAAAGATGCAGAAGTCGCTCCGTCCACTTCCAGCCATCTGTCTACATCATCGCTCACAATGCGCTGACTTGTGGTCCAGTGTTCGGCGCCGCAGGCATGACATTGGGTCATGCCAGAAACATTTGCAAATCGACCCAGATCGCACCGAACACCTGGGTTCTTGCTAAGGACACGCTAAGGACACAATCTTGTGTACTATAGATCCTGATTATTGTAATGCAAGTTCCCAAACCCGAAACTCCCAAAGCCGCAAACCCTAAACCCCCTGATCCCCAAACCCTAAACCCCTGAACCCAGACACAGTGAGCACTGCCGGCAGCGTCTGTGAAGGTCCCCACATCGCAGCTGACACAAACGGTCTTGCCGAAGGCGTTCTCGTAGGTTCCTGCTTGGAGGGTCGGGGGACTTCGTGAGTAGGTAGTAAGTAGACTTATAAGTACCCCAAAAGGGACCCTAATTGGGGTTATGGTACTTACAAGTCCCTAAAATAACCAGTTACTAAGTCACCTGACCCTCCAAGTAGCAGGACCCTAAAAGCACTTGGGTTTAGGCTTTAGGGTTTAGGGAAATCCTTTGAAGGACTCTATTCTAGTTGCTGATGTAGTAAACTGTAAAGCAACCCTTCTAGTAACCCTTAAAGGAATGGTTAGCGTCTTAGAGCTTTGGGATTCCTTAAACAACCCTACCCAACGATGCCTGCTGGGCAGGGCTTGCACAGGTACGTTTCGCCCTCGTTATCCAAGATCGATCGGGAGAAATTGCCTGGGCTATCTTTGGAAGCCCTTCATCATTTTTCTTTCATGTTCAGTCCTTCACAAGAACAGACGAGACTCACAAAAGAAGAAACGCCTAAACCCTTAAACCCTAAAACCCCTAAACCCTTATATAAACCCTAAACCCTTAAACCCTTAAACCCTAAACCCTTAGTTTGCTCAAGAACGGCCTAGCTGCCGGGACGGCAAGATGAGCAACCGACTGCGGTAGATCGATTAGCCAGGTGCTGTCCGTCGGAGTCTTGCAGACCTTCTCCTGCTTGGAGGTTCATGGGTGGTTATAATGTAAGTGGGGTTATAAGTCTCCTAAAATGGGTTCTAATCATAGTTGCCCTACTTATAACTCTCCTGGGCAGTGTTGAAACTTTAGGATGCCCAGTAACCTAGAAATAAAAGGGCTCCCCTTGTGGTGTCGGGTACCTTTATAAGGAACCTAGGACTACAAAAAGGGAATAAGGGTACTACTGGGCATCCTAGAACCTAAATCCTAAACCGACAAACCCTTAACCCCTAAGTACCCTAAACAATGTAGACCCAGCAAGAAACCATCTCCTGGCAGGCACTGTGTATCCACAGGAATCCAAGTGGTCCAGATCTCTGTATTGTTTCGAACCCAGCTGCATGCAGCAACTTGCAAGGTCGCTCCATGCTCCACCTAGGCTGTTCTCAACGAGCGGGGGGCGCTGATTTCAGGAAAAAACTTTAAATCATCCCTGAGGCCCAAACCCTAATTCCATGATCGCAGCTCCCCCCCCCCCCCCAGTTTGGGATGATACCCTTGGATTAAGAAGTGTTTGGCTCGCTGGATTCTGGAGGCCCTTGAATCGATTGCAGGTGTTGCCGATTCGTGCTGCTCCATACGAGGTAGGGTCGGGCAGAGGCTTTAGGGCTAGGGTTTAGGGTTTAGGGTTTAGGGTTTAGGGTTTAGGGTTTAGGGTTTAGGGTTTAGGGTTTAGGGTTTAGGGTTTAGGGTTTAGAGGGTTTAGGGTTTAGGGTTTAGGGTTTAGGGTTTAGGGTTTAGGGTTTAGGGTTCAGCAGCTCTGACTTTGAAGATTTAAGGTCAAGCTATTTCTAGTCAAGCTATCTTCAAGAACAAACCCCACCCGCCCAGAGAATCCCCTCACATTAGAATTATAGTTTTATTTCTTTTGGCTTGAATTATTAAATACTAACTTACATACGACTCACGACTCAACGAATCTATCATATTTGCAACCGTCGTCGATTCGCAAGTAGACCGTAAGTTACCGTTAAAATGTTGAAAGTGTAAGAAGAAAGCACTACCCACAGCAGCTGAGGCTGCGGTCACGCCATCGCTTTACAGTAGCAACTGCAGCTATCAAGCTTCTTTGCGATGACCGTTCAAGGCAGCGCATTGAGCAACTGATCAAGAACGACTCAAAACCTTGGCCGTGGCACACTAACAAGCACACCTTCGTGTGCAACTAGCATCCTTGGTTTTGCCTTGTCAGATGGAAACCAGCGTGGTCAACTAGCATCCTTCTTTTTGCCTTGTCAGATGGAAACAGGTCAACTAGCATCCTTGTTTTAGCCTTGTCAGATGGAAACCAGCATGGTCAACTAGCATCCTTTTTTGCCTTGGCACACGGAAACCAGCGTGTGCAACTAGCATCCTTCTTTTTGCCTTGCAAAATGGAAACCAGCGTGGTCAACTAGCATCCTTGTTTTTGCCTTGCAAAATGGAAACCAGCGTGGTCAACTAGCATCCTTGTTTTTGCCTTGTCAGATGGAAACCAGCGTGGTCAACTAGCATCCTTGTTTTTGCAGGAGGAAACCAGAGTGTCCAACTAGCATCCTTCTTTTTGCCTTGCAAAATGGAAACCAGCGTGGTCAACTAGCATCCTTGTTTTTGCCTTGCAAAATGGAAACCAGCATGGTCAACTAGCATCCTTCTTTTTGCCTTGTCAGATGGAAACCGTAGGCCGCTAAACACTGGGGGCCCTGGCCCTAAACCCCAGGCCCCTAAACACTGGAGCCTTAAACCCGAGGCTGCTAAACACTGGAAGCCAGGGAGGGGAGGGGAAGAAGGGGAGGGGAGGAGGGGAGGGGAGGGGAGGGGAGGGCGAGGGGAGGCGAGGGGAGGGGAGGGGAGGAGGGAGGGGAGGGGAGGGGAGGGGGAGGGGAGGGTAGGGGAGGGGAGGGGAGGGGAGGGGAGGGGAGGGGAGGGGAGGGGAGAGGGGAGGGAAGGGGAGGGAGGGGAGCCCTAAACCCGAGGCCCCTAAACACTGGAGCCCTAAACCGTAGGCCGCTAAACACTGGAGGCCCTGGCCCTAAACCCGAGGCCCCTAAACACTGGGCCCAAAACCGTAGGCCGCTAAACACTGGGGCCCTGGCCCTAAACCCGAGGCCCCTAAACACTGGGGCCCTAAACCGGCCCTAGGCCCTAAACACTGGGGCCCTAAACCCGAGGCCCTAAACACTGGAGCCCTAAACCCGAGGCCGCTAAACACTGGAGAAACGTCAAAGCCACGAGTTTTGATCAAGAGCCACGAGTTTTGATCAAGAGCCACGAGTTTTGATCAAGAGCCACGAGTTTTGATCAAGAGCCACGAGTTTTGATCAAGAGCCACGAGTTTTGATCAAAAGCCACGAGTTTTGATCAAAAGCCACGAGTTTTGATCAAAAGCCACGAGTTTTGATCAAAAGCCACGAGTTTTGATCAAAAGCCACGAGTTTTGATCAAAAGCCACGAGTTTTGATCAAAAGCCACGAGTTTTACCGAAAAAGCATCAAAAGCCACGAGTTTTGATCAAAAGCCACGAGTTTTGATCAAAAGGCCACGAGTTTTGATCAAAAGCCACGAGTTTTGATCAAGAGCCACGAGTTTTGATCAAGAGCCACGAGTTTTGATCAAGAGCCACGAGTTTTGATCAAGAGCCACGAGTTTTGATCAAGAGCCACGAGTTTTGATCAAGAGCCACGAGTTTTGATCAAGAGCCACGAAGTCATTAGGGTTTAAATTACTATAGGTAGAGAGGTTTAGGGTTTAGGGTTTAGGGTTTAGGGTTTAGGGTTTAGGGTTTAGAGGGTTTAGAGGGTTTAGAGGGTTTAGGGTTTAGGGTTTAGGGTTTAGGGTTTAGGGTTTAGGGTTTAGGGTTTAGGGTTTAGGGTTTAGGGTTTAGAGGGTAGAGGGTTTAGGGTTTAGGGTTTAGGGTTTAGGATTTAGGGTTTAGGGTTTAGGGTTTAGGGTTTAGGGTTAAGGGTTAAAGGTTAAGCTAGAAGGGGCCCCCGCCCTGTAATAGTGGTATAATCGGAATATAATAGGGCCCTAATATAATCCTTTTTGTCACTATTACAGGGTGGCGGCATTTTCTAAGGTTTAAGGTTTAGGTTAGAGTTCAGGGTTTAGGGTTTAGGTAAGCCAGAGAAACTTTAGGGAACACGAGTCCCTCCTCCAAAGCATACTACACAGAAAACCTCAAAACCCTACGCTTCTTGCAACTCCTACACAAATAAGCGCTGCTTTTCAAGAGCTGCCCAGCCACCTCCAACAGGAGGCTTTGCATGTCCTCGAGGTCCAGTCTCAAGTTTTCCAAGAATTGGTACACTCGAGGCGCCTCAATGATTAGAAAAGGGTTTTGGGTTTTTCTACTGCAACTGCAATACCCTACAGCCTAAACCCCAGACCCTAACTGTTTGGGCCTCTATATTAATTGAAGCCCTGACATAACCCATTGTAGTCACCCGTACAGTAGACCTTGTAGAACCCTTTGTAACCCTTTCAAAACCCTATGAAACTGTAGAAAATCCTATCTACTGCTTAGAAAACCATATACAAGTGCGTAAAACCGTACAAACCTACCCATAAAACCCTATTCTTACAAACAACCGATAACGATCCTATAAAAACCCTATAATGGCCCTATAAAAACCCTATATGACCTCATAAGACCCAATAAAGACCCTGTAAAACTCTAAGGTGCCATGGCCACAAGCTGACCCGCCGCGAGCTTCACGATCGAGTTCTCAGGATATCCTGAGAAAAGTTCCTAAAAACCCTGCAACCTACGGCTTAGGTTTGGGGCATTGGGATTAGAGCATAGGGCTTAGAGATTAGGGTCTAGGGATCAGGGTTATGGGATGAGTGCTTTGGGATTCAGATTCAAGATTATTTCCTCGGGTATCCTCGCGCCCTACACCCTAAACCCAACCCCCAAAAACCCAGTTTGAGGCCGGCCCACCTTAGCCTTCCAGACGCAGGGAGGCTTAGGGGTTTAAGGCTTAAGGCTTAGAGTTTAGGGCTTCAAGTTTGGGGCTTAGGGCTTTGGGTTAGGGTTGAGGGTTTGTCGGGATTTGCGTGGGCTTGCAAACGGGTTCTAAACGGGTTCTAGAAGGGCTTAGGGTTTAAGAATTCAGCGAGAGGATCTAGACAGTAGAACCTTCAATGTGGGAACCTATACTACCGAAAGGTACTTGCTAGGAACCCCCCTTAAAAAAAATCTATTTTTTGGATCCTCATTCGGGTATGGGATTTCAGGTTGAAACAGGATGTTGCACACCCCCTCTCGTAGTGGGGCTTCGGGTTTCAGGTTCAGGGTTTAGGGATTGGGCTTCAGGGTTTAGGGCGTTGAACCACCAGAACCAGATTGAAAGGAGCCCCTCGTTCAGAAGTCTATATTATATAAACCCAAACAGGCCTAAACCCCTAAACCCTAACGCCTATAGTAAAAGCCGGAAAGTTGGAACATCATTGTCCTCATACCCTCAAGGTAAAGTATAGGGGATCCTAGCACTAAACCTCCTCAAGCCATGTTCCAACTTTCTGGCTTCTACTAGAAACCCTCAAAATGGCCTGCTTGGAGGGTCGGGTGACTCAGGAACTGGTTATGTTAGGGACTTGTAAGTACCATAACCCCAATTAGGGTCCCTTTTAGGGTACTTATAAGTACTTACTACCTACTTACTAAGTCCCCCGACCCTCCAAGTAGAGCTGACAAAGCTGGAGCCAAAGTTCCGGTCCGATAGAGACCAGCCTCCCACTCGCGCCTCTTATGTCGCGGGAAGACCTGGACTTTGAAGTAACGGTTTAGGCTTTAGGGTTGGGGGTTTAGGGTTTGGGGTTTGGGGTTTAGGGTTCAGGATTTCGGGTTTGGGGTTTAGGGTTTCGGGTTTCGGGTTTAGGTTTAGGGTTTGGGGTTTAGGGTTTAGGGGATAGGGTTTAGGGTTCAGGGTCTGGAATTTGAAGTAACCAGGGGGAAAAAGGTAGAGACTTCTATTTCATAATGGTTCCCTGAAGTAACCACGGGGGAAAAAGGCATAGACTCTTATTTCATCATGGTTCCCTGTAAGGAACAGGTCTCAAAATGTATCAAAAGTATGGTACTTCAAAGCCTAGAGACTACCTGTGAGGCGTCCAGGTGAAGGAAGGCAGCATCCTGGGCGATTGCCAAGGATTTAGGGTCGACGTCTTGGGCTTAAGTAGGGCTCTTGTAAGATACCAAAAAAAAGGATTCTATATGCTTTCTCTAAGGGCTTGATAGGGTGTCAGTGAATTGAGGAACTTACTTTCAGCTGCATGTAATTGTTGAGCGCGTCCATGCCAAATGCAGCTCTTTGAAGCCGTTGCAACACCCTCGACAACCGTGGAAAAGTCGAGGCTACCTCTACAGGAACTGAACCGCCAAAACACCCCATCTTTCATGACTAGAACAAGTAGTCTTTCTTGAGGGTAGGCCCCAGGTGACTTCAAGGGCAACGACGAGATCCTCAAGAAGAGCCAAGAATCAGGTGACCACCAGTGGAAGAGCGTCCGGAAGTTTTCCACCAGGGATCTCCGCTGCTCCTCTTGTTTCGGGCTCAGGGCTTAGGGGTTTAGTCAAAGGGGAAAAGGAAGGACCCTTAATGGGGACCCCTACCCTATAATGGGCTATATAATGGCTATATTAAGGGTATATACCTAGGGGTCCTTATTAAGGGTCCCTCCTTTTCCCCTTGGATTTAGGGTTTAGGGTTGAGTGGCTTGTCGGGTGCGGAGTTTGGATATGAGGAAGGGGCCTCGATGGGTGGAACGAAGACTTCTTTGAAAAGGAGGTGGGCGGATCTGCTAACATAAGTAGGGTTTAGGGTTTAGGGTATAGGGGTTTAGGGTTTAGGGTTTGTATACAGAAAGACAGGGACTGCAAGGAGATACGAATTGAAATACTTGATTTCCGGCCCATGTGGTAAGGCATTTTCACTACATGGGCCCAGCCTGAATGAGTACCAACAGTATCTCGTGGGCTTCCTCAGCATAAGCATACCATAGCACAATAGACCCCAAAACTATAATACCCACCGCCGAAGAAGTATAAGAAGAATAATATCGATAATATTCTCCTGGGTTTTAAAAGGGACGAAACTATCTAAAAAGATAAAACTCGTAAGGGACACGTCTAGAAGGAGCCCTAAATCCTAAACCCTAAACCCTATACCCAAATCCTAGATGACGTCTACATACGAACGCCCCTGTTTCACTCCTCTCCCTTGGGGATACCAATTGCCGTGGGCATCCCAAAGAACGTGGACCATTGCATGAACACCTTGGCTCTGGGTTTAGGGTTTGGGGTTTAACGTTTAGGGTTTTGGGTTTTGGCTCAAAACAGCCTCCATGTCTCAGATTCTCGTAGTCGGCTTAGGGTTCAGGGCTCGGGGTTTAGAGAGAGAGAGAGAGAGAGAGTTTAGGGGGTTAGTGTTGGGTATTTAGGGCATCGGGGTTTTCGTTCAGGTTTGGGCAGAGTCCTGCCTACAAAGGTTTCGCACCGTGAACACCTGCTACTCGACAACCCGTACAGAACCCTTAAAGAACATGTCTCGAATCCTTCTGAAGCCCTTGCATGCCCTTATAAAAAAAAAAAAAAAGCTCGCCGAACCCTGTTTGGGGCATGAGGGCGTTAGGGTTTTGGTTATGCGGGTGTAGGGCTCCAGGTGTCTAGGGGTTGGGGGTTTATGGGTTTAGTTTAGGGGTTTAGGTCGGGTTTAGGGCTTAGGCCGGTTAAGGGTTTAGGGTTTAGGGTTTAGGGTCTAGGGTTTAGGGTTTTGGGTTTAGGGTTTAGGGTTTAGGGTAAAGATCCAGACGAAGCACGTAAATGTTCCATCCAAATCCGGCGGCGAGCAAGGGAATGCATTCCGAGATGTTGTGACGACAAGCCTGGGTTGCGCGCCCCTAAAGGACAAGCCAGAAAGTTGGAATATGATTATCCTAAACCCTTTATGGTAAATTATAAGGTATCCTACCCTGAAACCATATTCCAACTTTCTGGCTTTTACCTTAAGCGACTTAGGGTTTGGGGTTCGGGTCCACCCCAGTCCCAAACTCCCAACCGAAGGAAGCTTCTGTTAAAAGGGCTTCAGGATGCACTTGGAGGTTCATGGGTAGTTATAAGTGGGGTTCTAAGTTCCCCAATATGGGTCATAATTACAGTCACCCTACTTACAACCCCACTTACAACTACCCATGAACCCTAAACCCTATACCCTTATAGAATCACTATAGATTCCTTTAAAGGGGCCCGGAACACTTCTAACTACCCCATGAACCTCCAAGTAAGGCTGAGGCTCCAAGAATGCTGTTTCTGCTCTTTGACTCCCTCTCTTTGCGAGTTTCCGAAAATTCGGGGTACCTTTAACTTTAAAGGGATCCTTTAATGGCTCCTTGAGGGGATCTGTAAGAGTTCTATAAACGGTTTAGATTTTAGACTTTCCGAAAGCAGGCGCGGGTACCTTAATCTGGGATCCTTATAAGAAGGGTCCTACTATTTAGGATACTATATTAGGGTCCTCTATTTTCGGAAACTTCCATTTTGGGCGGGGTTGCCCTGAAACCTGGACCACAACCGTAGCGTTTAGGAAAAACAAACCCCCTTCAAACTTACCGTCTCGATCTCGAATGTAGCCTTCCTAACGGTAGGGGGGTCATGAATCAGGGTCGACAATAATTTTGAACCCAGAAACCGGAGACGTCCAGAAGTAGCCATCGGCACAGTTCGCCATGACTCCAGCTGCAGTTTCGAGGACGCCATCCCCGTCTCCCGTCCAATTTCGATAGAGCCTCTCCGTGGTTTCGGGCTTCAGGGCCTCAATACCATAAACCCTAAATCCTAAACCCAAAACCCTAAACTTATGAGCCAAAAACCCTAAACCACCACAATCCCAATTCCCAAACCCTGAGATCCAGAAGCCTTCTGATTCTACCTGGAGGTTCATAGGTAGTTATAAGGGTTCCCTTTAAGGGTCAAGGGTCCCTTTAAAGGGATCTATAAGGGTTCTATAAGGGGAGGGTTTAGGGCCTACTTGGAGGTTCATGGGTAGTTATAAAGTGGGGGTTATAAGTCCCTGAACATGGGTTATAATCATAGCTACCCTACTTATAACCCCACTTATGACTAACCCATGAACCGTAAACCCTACACCCTTATAGACTCCCTACAGATCCCTTTAAAGGGGCCGGAAAAGGAACACGTATAACTACCCATGAACCTCCAAGTAGCATCCTAACTGGACCCTTAGGATGCCCAGGAATAAAAAGGGGCTCCCTTTTCGGTATTGGGTAACTTTCTGAGGAACCTAGGACTACAAAAAAGGAATAAGGGTAGTACTGGGCATCCTGACTGGACCGAATGCATGGAGGGGGGACTAAGTAGGTGGTAAGTAGACTTAGTAAGTAGGGGCTCCTTTAAAGGGGATTATAAGGGTTCCTTTAAAGGGGTCTCTAGGGGTACTATAGGGTTTAGGGGGTCAGGGGCTTAGTAAGTAGGTAGTAAGTAGACTTATAAGTACCCTAAAAGGGACCCTAATTGGAGCTATGGTGCTTATAAGTCCCTAGAATAACCAGTTACTAAGTCCCCCGACCCTCCAAGTAACCTACCTCTTTGGAGCTTCTTATTGTGGATTTCCTTACATAAGTCTTTAAGCAGGTAGGTTGCTTGGCGCTAAGGCAATCCCTAGACCCCGCTTGGAGGTTCACGGGTAGTTGTAAGCACGGTTATAAGTAGGGCAACTATACTTAAAGCCCATGTTAGGGGACTTATAACCCCACTTAGAACTAACCCTCATTCAGGGTTTAGAGTTTTGGGTTTAGTGCCCTAATGGGAAGCCGGGTCCATTTGTCCGGATCCCGTCCTCATCTGCGCATCGTTGGTGAACTCGTGCTCGCTCGAGTTGCAGGGGGCAAACGAAGCCGTATCCAGATCGGACACCTACGGCTTCATGTCGAAACGATATTATGATATACCACCGTATATATATATATATATATATATAAAGATGTACACACATACATATGTATGTGTATGTGCGTATACATATATACATACATACATACATACATACATACATACATACATATATATATATATACAGATATATACATATACACATATATACGTATATACATATATACATATATACATATATACATATATACATATATACATTTGTACATATATACATACGTACATCTATACATATATACATATATACACATATACACATACACATCATTTACATATATACACATACACATTTACATATATACACAGACACATATATACATATACATATACGTATACGTATACATATACATCTACATACAGATACACATACACAAATACAGACATATACATATTTGTGTAGCATGTATGTGCATATAGAATATGTATGTATGTGGGTACATACATATACGCACATGGGATTTTTTAATGAGGCCTTGGTAAGCTTACAGGATCTTTATTTGTTGGGTTTGGGAGAGGGCTGCATGGGGAGTCGCTTCAGGGTTTGCAGGGCCCGGGCTTGCGGGTGACTGGAGTCCCGTCGTTCGGCAGCTTTTGAAGGGTTTTGGGTTCAGGGTTTAGGGTTTAGTACCTGCAGGTTCATGGGTACTTGTCAGTGGGTTTATAGGTAGGGCAAATGTAAAAATAACACATGTTACAGGACTTATAACCCCTGTTAGCTACCTCTGAAACTCCAAGTAGTGTTAGAGTTCGGGGTTTAGGGTGTGTGTCCATCCTGATACAGGTTGTACCCAGAGAGCCCCATACCCCTCATCACGGACTCGATCTAGTAATACGATTCAAAGTAAACTCCTCCATTAATAAGCTGGACATTGAAGTAACCAGGGGGAAAAGTATAGACGTTTATTTCATAATCCCTTTCAGGAACAGTTCCCAAAAAAGCATTAACGTATGGTACTCCAAAGCCTAGTAAAGGCACAGGGGTGCCGAAACCCTAAACCCTATAACCCCTAAATAGTCCTAGCACAGCCACGGATGATGGTAAGCGTAAACCCTAAACCCTTAAACCCTGAACCCTGAACTCCGAAACTGTGGCTCCGACCCTGCTGAAGAATTTCGCAGGATCATGCCTGAGATTGGCATCGGGAGAGAGTGCCTAGGAGCTGACCTTAGGGTTTTGGAGTTGGGGGTTTACGACGTAATCTTTAGCCCTAAGCCCCGTATGGTGGGGATAAGGGCTTGGCGATAGTTCTGGATTAGATTCCTGATGTTCAGCAATGTCTAAGCCACCATTCTCTAGACCCAAGAGTAACCTAGGAAGAAAAAGGGTGCCCTTTTTGGTTTAAAGGGGGTTATAAGGGAACCTAAACCCTTAAAAAGGGAATAAGGGCCTACTCTGGGTCCTAGTTCTGAAAAGACGAAGAGCTCCAAACCCACCGAAACCATAAACCCTAGAGCCAAGACCAACGACCCCAACAGGTGGATACGAGGTTCCAGAGTAGCCCCTTTGTAAGCAGGGTACCCTTTTTCCTATTATTCGGGTTTACAGCAACAAGCGGACCCTAAAATGAAAAGGGCAAAAGCTTACCACTCACGAACCTAGAAATGCCTAGAATTCGAGCCGCAACGAGGTGTTGTAACTCTTGTAGAAATCCAGTGCCAGTCCAGATGTGTAGTAAGCCTCGTCACGACCGGGGCCTTTCACGTAAAGTGTGTCCGAGCCGATGTACCCCATGGAGCCTAAATTCCTGGCGGCCAGGTTGGGATGCGTTCGCTCGAAGTTTGCAAGCTCGCCCGGTAATCCTGCTAGCCAGGTGTCCATGGCAACATGGCTGCGCCTTTGCCTGAGTCCATGTCAGGAGAGAGAGCAACAAGGGATCCTTTTGTGGCCATGGCCCGCACAAGTACAAGGACACCCAAACCACAAAAAGCAAAACGGACCCGTTTCGTGGACCAAGTTACCTTTCTAAGCAGTCGAAAGATACACAGCCGGCAAGCTGCAAAGCGCTTTCAACAGAACCAGTCGTCTTCTGAGGGTTGATGTCGACATGGTAGCCCAGGACCTGGGGAGTTTCTCGACGTGGGGCCCTAGGATTCAGAGTCGACATTAGGTTGATGCCTTTTGTCTACAATTTTGTCTACAATCCTCGCAAACTCTTGAAACCCCACTGCCACCACCTCTGACAGCAGGATTGCAGTCACTTCCGTGGCAACCTCGGCAGAGGGCCAGTCGTAAACCACCATCCTCAGTGCAGTGGCCTCCACTCCATCTGGGCCATCCACGGGCTCCTGAAGATACCTGGGCTCTTATTTCAGGAACTCTGGGGGTTTAAGGAACTCTGGGGGTTTAAGGAACTCTGGGGGTTTAAGGAACTCTGGGGGTTTAAGGAACTCTGGGGGTTTAAGGAACTCTGGGGGCTTAGGGTGTTTTTGAAGGCCCTTTTCTACCTGTTGCCAGCTAGAATTCCTGTTTAGGGCTTAGGATTTAGCAGCAACGACTCCAAAACAAGAAATCAGGATGGAGATATGCAGTAAGCAAACATGCTATCACTATTGCGGTGGCTGAAACACAAAGTCGATAAAGAGAGCCCAGATACCTCCTGTCGCTTGCGGGGATGCCATCAGGCAAGCAAAGCTCTGCAGACACCAGCAACACAGCCTTCAGCAACAGCACCGCCCATGGACGTGCATCCATTGCTTTGCAAGGATGCGAGAAAATCCAGAAAAAGGCAGCGCTTCTAGGAAATGTGGAAGGTTGCTACTACCAGTACTGATACCATGATTCTTGCCATCGCAGCAACATACCCTAAACCCAAAACCACTCTGTCACTGCTACCTGGCATTGATTGGACAGATGTCCAAATCTTACGGACCTTTCTCGGTTGAGGCTGACCTAGTCTAGGCTCTTCTACTCTCCGCTAGTATAGGTGACTCAATCATTAGAATAGGGTTCGGAGGTGTATGTACTTGCGTGTATATGTAAGAGTATGCATATATGTTAATGGCATAACTACATTGGGGAACCTTTAAAAAAGTATTACAAGTTCCGACCCCTACATATATGGCCTTATCATTTCGAGGGGGTTGAGGTTCTGCTAGAAGCTCGAGCGCGGCGCATAGGACACCTTGCAATGCACTGTCGATGAAGCAGGGCGTGTTTGGGGTGTAAGGTTTAGGCTTTGGGTGCTTCTGTTTAAGGTTTAAAGGTCGGGTTTTGCTTTGAGCCTTCGGGTTGAGGCATAGAGTTTCAGGGCTGATCCGGATGTCCAAGGCTCTCGCATGTTGATGTCGGGCGGTGTCGGTATGATCATGAACATCATCCGAATTACCACCGCCAGCATCATCATAATCATCATCACGTTTGGCATCGCCCTCATGAGCAGCGGAACACCCTCCGAATCGTCTGTAGTGAGCCCTGCATGGGGATATCACAGGCCAAGGCCGCATTTGCCTCTACCTTTGCACTGTAAGGGCTTTATTCATTATTGCCTAAGCCAAAAACCCCAAATCCTACACCCGAAAACCAAACAAGCCTAAACCCTAAACCCTAAAATCCCAACTAGCACGGTACTAGGCATTGAAGACTCTAGAGCACCAGGGACCCCCCACTTGCAGGGTTTCAGGGTTTGGGGTTTAGGGTTTCAGGGTTTAGGGTTTAGGGTTTCAGGGTTTAGGGTTTCGGGCTTCAGTGTTGAGGGTTTGGGGTTTGGGCTTTAGGGTGTGGGTTTAGGGTTTAGAGCTTCAGAATTGAAGCTTTCCCAAAGAGTCCCAACGAGACCCTTTACTAAGGGAGCTACCTGAACTGATAGGGGCCGTTAATATTATGCCATAATTTTGGTTTTAAGGTAGATTCCTTCACAATAGACCGTAAACCACAAAACAAAAAGCCCACATAATTAAAGATATGTTCCTTCAGCTTTGATTAAGGGGTATTATTGGGCTCTCTGGGTTGAGTGGGCACACCGCTGTTGGCCTGGAAGGGCTTAGGATGCAGGACTGCGTGCTAAACCCGCAAGGGTTAATCTTAAAGTCTAGACTAGACCTAAGAGTAACCTAGGAATAAAACGGGTGCCCTTATCGGTTTTAAAGGGGGTTATAAAGGGAACCTGAACCCTAAAAAAAGGAATAAGGGCTCACTCTGTGTCCTAGTAAAGGCCGGGCGCTCCAACTCCATACTCGAAACCTGCAGCCTGACGTCCTAAACCCTCCACTCAGAGAGCCCAATACCCTCTTAATTAAGGAACATGCCTTAAACCATAACATCCAGGCCCCTATCATGTAAGGTATATAATACCACAATTAAAGGGTATTGGGCTCTCTGGGCACCCCGAATGCCAAACCTTCAATCCTGAAGCCGCAACTCCCATCCCGATAGCTCAAATTCCTAAGCCCTGATCCCAAAGTCTTGCTCGGAGAGGGACATCTTGGCTGAGGCGGTCCAGGCCTCAGCCAGGGGGGTAGGCTTGTTTTGTGAGGGGGTTCAGGGTTGAGGGGCTTCGTTTCAAAAGCCGCGTTTGCTCTCCTTCTGGTCTGCCTCCACGAAATCGGCGCACAACGAAAAGACAAGGTGGCCAGGGTTGAGGGTTTGGTTAGGGCTTTTGGTTTTACCAGATAGCGTACATGACATACATGAATACGCAAGCGTTCTCTAGATGTTTCTGGGAGGGTGCCCTTAATTCAGGAATATACCTTAAATTATAGTAGGATCCCTAATCTGATTTGAGGTATATTCCTTGATTAAGGGATATTAGAGTCTCTGGGTATTATGTACCCATTATACACCCAGAACCCCAGGAGGATCCAGAAAGTAGATCCCCTGATTTGGGGTTTAGGGTTTAGGGTTTAGGGTTTAGGGTTTAGGGTTTAAGGTTTAGGGTTTAGGGTTTAGGGTGGGGCCCTATACTACGAAGGGTACTTTATAGGAACCCCCGTTAAGGGATCTACTTTTTGGATCCTCCCGGGGGTCTGGGTAGGGATCCCCACCAAGGGTCCCTCCTTTGGCCCTCTGGGATGATGGCGAGTCTCCGCGAAAAGACCACTCGAGAGGGTTTTCATCTAGATGAAGGATTAGAATCGGGTTTTAGGGTTTAGGGTTATTAGAATAGGGATTGGGGGTCCCTTACGGGTTCCTTTAAGGGTTCCTTCTAAAGGGGTCTATAGGGGATCTATATTCTACAGTACAGGGGCCTCAATAATTAGAAAGGGTTTGGGGGGGATATCATACTTTGATTTTAATAAGGAAACCCCAAAACAGTGTTGGTAAGTATAGACCCCTAAATTAGCGTGTAGGGAATGCAGAAGCAAGTTCATGGCACATTGGCAACGTTGGGTTCTCAGCATGCGCATGGAGTTCTGACTTCTTGCTGACATCTTACCTGGGTCCCTAGACTCTGACTTTTTTGTGTTGATTTGGGCTTCATGTAGGGGTAGAAAAAGAAACCTGGAACTACAATGAGGAATAAGGAACCCGTAGAGGTAACCCCTTCAACACCCAAGAAGAAACCTACTTCTCCAGTATCCTGCAGAACCAAAGGTTAATTTGTGGATACTGTTTGGGGTTATAGGGTAAAGGTCACTTACCTGCGACTAGGGAAATCCCCTTACAATGAAGCCCAATAAGGTAGGGATATCCCTGTAAAGGGCGTATGGTTCGGTCCTTTTCGGGTCCCTAACTTCCAAGGAAGTGTGCGCTCTCAGGTCTGAGAGCGGAAATTCAACACTCCAAGCCCGCGCTCTGCGAGAGCTGCAAGGGCAAGGCACCAATTTCTGGTGCAATAATCACCTGCGCTGCAGAGCTGAGCTGAGGAGGTGGTAGAGTCGATCCGTCAGAAGGACCGAAGCAAATAATAACTCTTCTGTGACTCTGCCGCTTACAAGATCTTCTGAACAGTCCTTCCGACCAATCTCAAAACTTGGATGCATCATGCTGTCATATGAATCACGCGTTCGTGCCACACCTGGAAAATCCCGACACGGAACCCATAGTTGAGGAGGATGCCGAACAGGAAGGATACCAAGAATCCGATCCCATCCGAGGCATCAGCATACCGCACAAAGAAGGAGCACTGCAGCCGTTCCTGATACTGCTTCACGTCTCTCGAGAACTTCTTGTCCATCTTGCTGGGAACATTGATGGCATAGACATCACTGTGTACCAAGTGATGAAGAGTGTGCCATTGAATGCACGACTTGTGCGGCCACATCGTATGAGTTACCACATTCGGACCGGAATATGCGGCATGGAAGAGAAGGTAGGGAATGCAGGCGAGGCTGTTGCAGAAGAAGAGAGTGCCGCCTTCTAGCCATGCTTCCCAAATTCCAGCTGCTGGAGTGGTTGCATAGGTGCCCTTGCAAATATGATGCTCCAAGTGAGCCAGGCGGTACAATGGCTGAACCTCATGGTACAGCTTGTGAAGCCAGGCAAACTTGAACTCCACCATGCGATGAAAAAACATGTGCTCGACCATCACCACGGCATAGTGGATAAAGTGGTACGGGTAGCCTTAACACTTAACATAGGGTCTTAGAAGACATTATGCTTCACTTTCAATCAACCCTACTTGGAGGTTGGTGGGTAGTTCTAAGCGGCGTTATAAGAGGTTAACTATACTTACTATACTTACAACCCATATTTTGGGACTTTTAACCCTGCCTGTGAAGCTCCAAGTAAGCAGTAATGTTACTAATTCCATGTTTACACTGCACTACAATGATGTCTGATACTCGGGGATTCCCAAGGAAGAATAGTACCATTTATTGAGGCCCCTATCTAAGTGGTACGGGTAGCCACAGTTCATCTGTAGAATAGCCAAGGCCGTCTGTAGCTGCGTCACGACTGCATTTTGCGACGTGGTGTACCTCGGCTTCTGACGCGATCTGAAACTGAAACCTACAGTTGATGATACAAATCAAGGACTCTAAACTATGGGAATTATGGTATATTCCTGATTATGGGAAATGCAGGATTTATATCATCAACAGTCGGATTACCTGGGGTTCCTTTAAGGGTTCCTTTGCCGGTTCCTTGACGGGTTCGATAGGAGTTTAGGATTTAGGGATGGGCTTCCCTACTATGAGTTCATGCTGCGTTTCCTCAAAGTGGCAGGTTGTTGGCATCCAGGTAGGGTCAGTGTATGGGGTTTAGGGGCGAGGTCCCGGACCCTGAACCCCGCAAATTTAGCGTTGTAAGACTTGCTGCAAAGCTCAGCTTCATTGACGTGGCACCAAGCTGGCACTATACAGCTGCGCTAGGCTTAGTAACTGGACCTTAGTAGGGTCTTTAGGGTATACTATATCCTGAGTATACAAAAACTATCAAGGGGAAAACTTTACAAACGAATGTAGAAACCTGATTAAGAAACCCTGGCCCCGTGATCCCACATACATATATGGATCCATCTGAAGAACCCCAACAAAGACCCAGGAATTCTTAATCAGGTTCCCATATTACTCCGCTTTAGACTCTATAGAGTCTTGTGCGTTAGGCTTAGGCTTCTGACCATAACCTCCGGCCAGGCCACAGACTCTCCCTAAAACCTAAACCCTAAACCTCCGGCAAGGCCACAGAATCTCCATGATCCCTAAACCCTAAACCTCGGGCAAGGTCATAGAATCTCCATGACCCCTAAACCCTCAACCCTAAACCTCCGGTGCCAGGCCACAGAATCTCCATGATCGCTTCCGACTTGCTCAGGTGATTCTCCTAGCTCATGGTTGGGATAGGATTAAGAATTTACACTTTTATTCCTTATTGGGTTTAAGTACCCATAAAAACGTAAAATGTTACCCAACTACGACAAAGTCTCCCTTTGAAGCACATCGTGGACTACCTGGAAGCCTTTGCCTGGGCTTTCATGCAACCAGGGAAGCTAAATCTATAGACTTCTATGTCTTAACAAATACGTATCTCTATATACATATATATACATGTGTGTATATATATATATATATACATGTATATATGTAAATATGTATATGTTCATTTACTTACACATATATGTATACACATATGTATATATATATATATATATACATATATATATATATATATATATATATGATTAATGGTGGCGTTAAGGAACCGGTCCCAAAATAAAACTGAAAGCATGGTACTCCATAACCCAGTTGCACCAAACCGGACACGACAAAAGCAGCACCGCCCCCATTGCGTACATAATGAGCACAGTGTTTTGCACACTGGACCTGGGCTTTTAAGTAACCAGGGAGAAAAATGTATCAACTCTTATTTCATAAAGGTTCCTTTAAGTAAAAAGTATTAAAGTATGGTACTTCAAAGCCCAGGGACTCGATTGTACTCAATGGGAATTCGATGTAGCCTCGGCCAACGCAGCAAGGAAGCGTACTTGGAGGGTCTTTCGGGGACTTAGTAAGTAGGTAGTACGTAGACCTAAAACTACCCCGAAAGGGACCCTAATTGGGGTTAGAGTCCCTAAAATGACCAGTTACTAAGTCCCCCGACCCTCCAAGTAGTCGGGCAGGATCTCAACAGTAGATGCCCTGATTTGGGACCCAGGCTCCTAAAGTACCCTTGTGGGAACCCCCTTATTGGATCTACATGTTGAGTCCTCCCACGTTCTGGGTCAACTGCTTTCCGTCGTCTCTGGCTCAGTCATTTGGCGTGCCGCTTGCCGCTTTGTTTCAAGTATGAGGGTTTAGGGTTTAAGGTTCGGTGGGCTTCTAAAGGATTTCTTGCGACTGCACCCTAGTTCCTAAACCCTAAACCCTCCTAAACCCTAAACCCTAAACACTCCTAAACCCTAAACCCTCCCAAACCACGAAACTGACAGTTTCTTGCACCTTCCAACCTCCCTGTGGCCGAGACAACACAAGAACCCAAGAGCTTAAACAAAAGCAGATCATGGGGACCCTTCGGGGCTTAGGGTTTAGGGTTTAGGGTACGTATAGGGTTTAGGGTTTAGGGTTTAGGGTTTAGGGAGGGAGGAGGGGGGTAGGGGACTATACTTCCTTAAACAGGCCAGAAGTCCTTATGAGAGGTATTAAGCCCCCTACCTCCCCCGTAACCCCCCTAAGGGTCCCTATAGAGCTCAGGGGCTTGAGGAAGATTTGGGGCTCAGAAGTTTTAGGAAGATGTACGGCTCAGGGCTTACTAAAATTTCGGTTTAGGGATTGGGGTTTAGCGTTTAGGGTGTTTAGTATAGGGGCCTTCATAATTAGAATAGGGTTTGGGGGTACATTATATACCATAATGATGACGAGGAACCCCCGAAAACTCGATTCTAACATTACCCTAAACCATGCTAAACCCATGTGTCAAGAACCCGCCTGGGGCGCAAGGTTTAAGAAGACTCGGATTCGGGGAGCCGAAGCCTGATGCCTCAACCCAAGTCAAGAGACTGCAGCAACAAGTGTCATAGGTACCCTTAGGGGGGTAGGGGGAAGGGAGGGGTTAGGGTTTAGGGGGCCGCAATGTCCATAACAAGGACTTGGTAAGGCCTATTTAAGGAAGTATTGTCCCCGACCCCCCTCCCCCCCTACCCCCTTAAGGGTCCCTATGAAAGTGGCTATCTAGGTGTCGATTTCAAGAGTCCCCAAAGTTATTCATAATTAGGGTTCCATCTTAAACAAAAGGGAAATTAACGATCATCCCAAACCGATACCTAGTTAGGGTTCAGAAAGGGTTAAGGGGTTGAGGGCTTGTATTTGGACAGGTCCTGTTCCAAGGGTTTCGGGCCTTAAGGTTTAAGGTTTAGGGTTTAGGGGTCTAGGGTTTAGGGTTTAAGGTGTACGGACGATCACCTGAAACGCTTAAACTCTGCATTCTGAGTGGCAAGGAAGTTCTTACAAAATGCTGAACCTATCTTAATGGCGATGATCCCTACTTTGAGGGGCTATATGTCCCAAATTATGGGCTATAATCATCGCCACCCTACTTATAACTCCCAGAACCCTAAACTTAAACCCTAGACCTGATTTTGAACCTCCAAGTAAGAAAGCCCTGTGAAACCGGATAGCACTCCGAAGAAAACCATTCAAAACCCAGAAAGCCCTCTCTTGCAGAGGCCGGGTACCATACTTCGAGGCCCAGGGGACTTAGTAAGTAGGTTACATGCTAGAGTTATAAGTACCCTAAACGGAGTTACTCCAATGATAACCCTACTTATAACTGACCTTCTAACATACACTACCCTAAACCTGCCCGGTACCATTCACCGGGGGGGGAGCCTTGCATGGAGAATGGAAGGAATCGCTCCAGGTAATGATGGAATAATTCGAGCCTAAACCATAAGGGCCTTCATGTCATGGTTCAAGGTACACTCGTTAGGTCAAGGGTATTGGGGCTCTCTGAGTGCCTCCCGGGAGCCTTGCATCCAGCTTGGAAGGAACCGCTCCAGGTAGAGGAGGATCAGGTATCGCAGCGCCAACTGCGTGAAACTGACCATGGCAACTGCCGTGCCTCGGTTTTGGGGGGTTTTCTGTCATAGTTGAAGCAGAACGCACCCATGGGTAGCGGCTTTAGGGTTTAAGTTGAGGTTCCGGGATGAGGATTTAGGGCGAAGGGGTTTTAGGGTTTAGGTCTTCGGGTTTAGGGAAGCGTTTAGGGTTTCAGTGTTAATGGCTTGGAGCTGGTATGAAGGAGACCGTCGCAACTGCCGTGCCAGGCGATTTTAGGGTGTCGTATGCTTTGGGTAACTATACTTATAGCCGATATTAGGGGACTTGCAACCCTACTTGTATCTACGCATGAACCTCCAAGTAGGGCTAAGGATATCTGAGAATATACATGTTCCCCTTATCGTGTTCACTTCCCTAAACCCTAAACCCCAAAACCCTAAACCCCTAAACCCTAAACCCTGCTGAACAAGAACCTGGGTGCCCATGACCCAGTTGTTGATCCAGGCCGCCACCTCCGAGATGCCGAACTGGAACCTAGTTCATGGTTGGGATAGGATTAAAAAAATGTTAATTCTTATTCCTTATTGGGTTTAAGTATCCATAAAATCGAAAATGTTACCCAACTATGACAAAGGAACATGTTTGACCGGAAGATGTAGTAGTAGTAGCACAGACACATCACCTGGACTTTGAAATAGCCAGGGGAAAAGATAGACTTCTATTTCATAATGGTTCCTCTAAGGAGTCGATACCAAAAAAACCCTAAACTCCCCTAAACCCTAAACCCTAAACCTAAACCCTAAACCCTCAACCCAAACCCTAAACCCTAAACCCTAACCCTAACATGCTACTCCAGAACCCAAGTCACCAGCATGGGCGCCAAGGAGTAGATGGCGATGAAACGTTGGTATTCAAGCGAGAACCCTGCCGATCTAGAGGGTTTGGGGCTTGTAGTTTGGGGTTCAGGGCTTGAGGTTAAAAGTGTAGAATTGAGGATTGACGGCGAACGGTTGAGTTTGGGGACTAGCTTAAGGAGTTTAGGAATCGAGGCTTCATGGCAGCTATTGGCCTGCCAGCCGGTTCAGCACGAGCATGAAGGGCATGTACGCGATGACGTTGAGGACAGCCGTGGGCCCCGTCTTCACGGGCACACACTCCTCCTGGACTTCCTTGCTGGCCTGTCATCGTGGCAGCGCCGGAGGTAGTGAGTAGTCGCAGTTGTCCTAGTAGCTTTAGTCGCAATCGTATCTTAGTCGTAAGGGTAGTCTTCCTCGTTATCGCAGTCGTAGTCGCAGTGGCAGACGTGTCGTCGCCGTCGTCGTAGCGGCAGTCGTGGCCCTCGTAGAATCAGTCGTAATCGTGGTAATCGTAGCCGTACTAGTACTAGTACTGGTACTACTACTAGCACTAGCACTAGCACTAGCACTAGCACTAGCACTAGCACTAGCACTAGCACTAGCACTAGCACTAGCACTAGCACTAGCACTAGCACTAGCACTAGCACTAGCACTAGCACTAGCACTAGCACTAGCACTAGCAGCTAGCCCTAGCCCTAGCCCTAGCCCTAGCCCTAGCCCTAGCCCTAGCCCTAGCCCTAGCCCTAGCCCTAGCCCTAGCCCTAGCCCTAGCCCTAGCCCTAGCCCTAGCCCTAGCCCTAGCCCTAGCCCTAGCCCTAGCCCTAGCCCTAGCCCTAGCCCTAGCCCTAGCCCTAGCCCTAGCCCTAGCCCTAGCCCTAGCCCTAGCCCTAGCTAGCCCTAGCTAGCCCTAGCCCTACCACTACCACTACCACTACCACTACCACTACCACTACTACCACTACCCTACCCCTACCCCTACCACTACCACTACCACTACCACGACCACGACCACGACCACTACCCCTACCCCTACCCCTACCCCTACCCCCACCACTACCACTACCACTACCACACTGCCACTACCACTACCACTACCACTACACTACCACTACCCACTACCACTACTACTACTACTACTACTACTACTACTACTACTACTACTACTACTACTACTACTACTACTACTACTACTACTACTACTACTACTACTACTACTACTACTACTACTACTACTACTACTACTACTACTACTACTACTACTACTACTACTACTACTACTACTACTACTACTACTACTACTACTACTACTACTACTACTACTACTAGCAGCAATGAGAGCGACAATGACGAGAACTGTTGCAATCGTTACTAAAAGACTGCTAGCACTAAAAATGCGAGGCACAATCATGAGGGCCAATGCTGATGAAACAGCTTTAATCATGGCCTATGCCTGCATATATCTACAGACGCAACATCTAGATACAATATGTACATATATGTATATGTATATATATATACATACATACACATATATATCCGCCGCTCTGAGTAGTACATATTTGGAGTATGGATAACATATTCTAGTATATAAAGGGATTCATAGCGGCCTGTGCGTGAGCATCCCACGAGCCCCGGAAGTAGCCGATCGCGACCCTGCAAGTGGCCAGGTAGACGCGGAAGAAGCCGAAGAGCATGGCGGAAGAGTGGCTGAAGAGTGAGCACGAACACGGGTGTATCTGTACAAAGGACAGCTCGGAGCAAAGTCTGAAGATCGAGAACTCTTTGCAAACCGCGACTGTTTTTGCCGAGCAGTCGGCTAAATGTTCGCAAACCAGGGAGCCTCGCACACCAAGCAACACCCGAAATCCGAAATCCTTGCATAGTCCCTGAGCCCGACACCCTAAATCCTTACATATTTCCTGGGCCCGAAACCCTAAACCGACAGTTGCAGCCGTGCTGAGAGTAAGGCGCATCTGAAGCTGCCGATTTTCGTGCCTGTGCCGGCCAATTAAGCTCAGGTTTGCAGGTCGAGAAATCAAGAACCCTAAACCCTAAACGTTCCTTATTATACTTATAATATAAGCCCTGTTCTAATCATATTATGAAGGCCCCTGTATTAAACAAAACCTAAACCCTAAACCCTGGTCTTACGTTCAAACCCGGTATCCAGGTGGGACTTTCGGGAAATAGGGGACCCTACTTGGAGGGTCGGGGGACTTAGTAACTGGTTATTTTAGGGACTTATAAGTACCATAACCCGAATTAGGGTCCCTTTTCGGGTACTTCTAAGTCTACTTACTACCTACTTACTAAGTCCCCCGACCCTCCAAGTAATATAGTACGTACCCTAAAAAGTAGGATCCGTATTATCAGGACCCCAAGATGAGGTACCCCCCAATTTTCGGAAACTCTAAACCCTTACAGAGCCAAAGCCCTTGAAAGGAGCTCTTATAGCACCCTTATAGTAACCCTTTAAAGGAACCCTTAGGTACCCCTAATTTTCCGACACTCGCAGACTCCAGTCGCCTTCACCCCAAACCCCTTAGATCCCTTATGGGAACCCTTAAAGGAACCCATGAAGGATCCCTTTAAAGGAACCCTAAATAAACCCTTAACCCTTAACCCTAAAACTCTAAACCCTTAACCCTGAACCCTAAACCCTTAACCCCTAAACCCTGAACCCTTAACCCTAAACCCTTATAGAACCCTAAACCCTAATCCCTGATTCCATCTTTGGGCACCCACTTGGAGGGTTGGGGGACTTAGTAACTGGTTATTTTAGGGACTTACAAGTACCATAACCCGAATTAGGGTCCCTTTTCGGGTACTTATAAGTCTACTTACTACCTACTTACTAAGTCCCCCGACCCTCCAAGTACTATAGTACGTACCCTAAAAAGTAGGATCCGTATTATCAGGACCCCAAGATGAGGTACCCCCCAATTTTCGAAACCCTAAACCCTAAGTCCCCCGACCCTCCAAGCACAAAACCGGAGCCTGAGCTCTTCCTTCTCCCGGCGCTCGCGTAGCGCCTTCTTGCTCCACGTCAGGGTTCCCCGAGACTCCAACACCCCTTAATTAAGGAGGGTTTCTTTAAGGGATCTATAGGGTTTAGGGGATTCTAAATATCCCTTCATGAAGGAATGTACCTTAAGTTATAGTAGGATCCCCTATATGATTTAAGGTATATTCCTGAATTAAGGGATATTGGAGTCTCTGCGCTTAGGGTTTCGGATTTATGTAGGGTTTAGGATTTTGGATTTTGGGGTTTAGGATTTTGAGGTTTCGGTTTTGGGGGTTCAGGATTCTGGGGACAAGAATTTGCGGCTCAGAATTTCAGGTTTGGGGTTCAGGGTTTGGCAGGGTTTAGGTGCACTGGGCTCATTTCAGGTTCCTTGTACTCGAATCCCGCGTGGTCCTGAGGTTCTTCGGATTTTATGGTACAGCGTGTACAACTTATATAGCGTGGGGCGCTTCACCATGTGTATGTACGTATGTATGTATGTATGTATGCATGGATGTATGTATGTATATGTATATACACATATAAGGGAGTTTCCGAAAATGGGGGACCCCAATACAGTACCCTAAACAGTAGGATTCCTATTATAAGGATCCCAGACAAAGGTACCCCTAATTTTCGGAAACTCTAAACCCTCATAAAGCCCTTTAAAGGAACGCTTATAGTACCCGTATAGTAACCCTCGAAAGGATCCCATTAAAGGTACCCCTTTCCCCTTTAAGCCTCACGCTCTGATCCAGCCATAAAGCCGGTCCCAGAGAATTCAAAACCCCTTAATTAAGGAATATACCTTAAATCATAAAAGGAATCCTACTATAATTTAAGGTACATTCCTTCATGAAGGGATATTAGAATCCCCTAAACCCTATAGATCCCTTAAAGGAACCCTGGGTATATTCCTTAATTAAGGGATATTGGAGTCTCGGGGGTTTGCAGGGTTTGAGCTGTAAGGCTTGAGGGTGTCGACCTCGGGCCTCCGGACAGAGCCCTGCACCCTAAACCCTTAGGGTTTAGGGTTTAGGGGTTAAGGAGTTTAGGGGTTTCGGGGTTTAGGGTTTAGGGTTGAGGGGTTTAGGGGTTTAGGGTTTAGGGTTTAGGAGTTTAGGGGTTTAGGGGTTTCGGGGTTTAGGGTTTAGGGTTTAGGGGTTTAGGGGTTTAGGGTTTAGGGGTTGAGGGTTTAGGGTAAAGCTCCAAGCCCTTACAGCCCTAAATCGAATAACAATCGTACTGATAATGATGTTAAAAACAATAATGATAACGACAACCACGATGCTGATGATCATGGTGACAACAATGACAATAACAGTACTAGGAACAATAATGAGAATTAATATGACATTGATGGTGACGATGATGGTCATAATACTAACAAGAAGAATGTGAATACAATGATAAGAATAACAGGAAGAGGCAGAACACTAACAATAGTAGTGATGATTGGTTGAAATAAGGATAAGACTATTGTATTTTAACCCTACCACGACTTCCCAATCTTACACCCTAAAACCATAGAGCGCATACCCCTGAGTACAGGAATATCCCTTAAATCATGACATTCAGGCCCCTACTATTTACGGTATACTCCATGATGGAAACAGAAACCGCAAGATCCGCCAAAAGGACGCTACGTTCAGGGTCTAGCGCTTCAGGGTACATTCACCTAACTAAGGGGTATTGGGCTCTCTGGGAAACCTCAGGTGCTGTAAAGCGGCTTATAGCGTTAAAAATGGTTTAGGGTTTAGGGTTTCGTAATCTTGACGAAAGAATCCCAATCCATGCCAACACCTAGGACACAAACCAGCTAATCTACCCATCCCCCGAACCCCTGAACCCCCATACCCTAAACCCTACAGAACCCGCATAGGAACCTTAAAGGAGCCCTTATGGATCCCTTAAAAAAAAATTCATAAACCCCTATAGAACCCCTGAACCCCCAAACCCTAAACCCGTGCTCACCGACCCCTAAGCGCAGCAAGAGTTGACCGCCGAAGCCTGGAACCTACACCCCCAAAACCTCCAAACCCTTCCTCAGGGTTTAGGGTTTAGGGTTTAGGGTTTAGGGAACCTACACCCCCAAAACCTCCAAACCCTCCCTCAGCCCTACTATATTGGCCGTAATAGTTAGAATAATGTTTTGGGGCCCATTGTACTATAAATATAACAAGGAACCACCACAACAGTATAGGTAATTATTAAGGCCTCTGTATTACACCCTATAACCTCCAAACCCTCAAACCAATCCCATCCTCTTCCTGCAGCTGCCCCAGTGTCTTCCACAGCCTCGGAGCGCGGCGGCATGCAAAAATGGGATGACAGGGCCATCAGCGTGTAAGCCCTTCGGGCTTAGGAATTAGGGTTTGGGGTTTGTCGTGCTTAGGGTTTAAGTTTAGGGTTTTTGGGGGCTTTGAGGCTTCAGCTGTAGGGCCCAACTCCGAAACCCTTACACCCAAAACCACCCAATCCTAATCCCTGATGCCGCTTTTAGGGAAAAGATGCTTGTCTTGAAGCAGGTACAAACCGATAGTGTAGTGGTCATGACCAGTTGAAGTGTGACTTGCGGGCATAGCATACTATAAATACAAATTGCCCGTGAAGGGATTCTGCTGCTAAGTAGTCCAGCCTCTGTTTAAACCCTGGGAGTTGTGAACGGAATCCTCACCCCTAAACCTAAACCCTCATCCCTTAGCCAATTGAGGCCTTCTGCGAGCATCATCGGCGAGGGCTTCGCAAAGCAACAAGCGATATACGGTTGTACAGCCCTGTTTGGGGCACTTACGTATGGCTACCCATGAGCCCGGCATTTTTTTGCGAAAAGGTGGATTTCTGCAAAGACCCAGACCCCGCAAAGATGATCCAAAAAGTAGATCCCTTAATGGGGATTCCTATAAAGTACCCTTAGTAGTATAGGGCCCCAAATTAGGGGATCTACTTTCTAGATCCTAAACCCTAAACCCCTAAACCCCTAAACCCTAAACCTTAAACTCTAAACCCCTAAACCCGAAACCCCTGAACCCTAAACCCTACTTTCTAGATCCTCCGGCGGGTCTGCGGAACTGCAGTTCCTGTGGTCTTTCGGCCTCAAAGGACACCTGATCGCCTTGCTGTAACTACCCCTGCGCCCTGCGGGGGTTTAGGGGTTTAGGGTTTAGGGTTCAGGGTTTAGGGTTTAGGGTTTAGGGTGGCGAACTACAAAACAGCAGAGAAAACTGATCAACTCAAAAGGAAACGCGAAGCCCGACCGTAGCTCACAAGTACAACCTGAAAAACGCCCGACCCTAAACTCTAAACCGTAAACCCTGCACCCCAACCTGACCCTGAACCCCCTACGGCAGTTTCCGAAAATGGGGGACCCTAACATGGCACCCCAAATAGTAGGATCCTTGTAAAAAGGACCCCAAAATAAGGTAGCCCTGATTTTCGGAAACTCTAAACCCTAAACCCTTTATAGAACCCATATAGATCCGTTTAAGGAACCCTTATGGATCCCTTTAAAGGTACCCCCTAATTTTCGGAAACTCCCAAATACCCTCGTCAAGCCCCCGGACGCCGTGAACTGGGACATGACCTGGCCCGAGCTTCGAACCCTGCAAACGGTTTAGGGCTTACTTGGGGGGGACTTAGTAACTGTAAGGGGTTCCTTTGGGGTTCCTTTAAAGGGATCTATAGGGATTCTATAAGGGTTTAGGCCTTAATAACATAAGGGGTTCCTTTAAAGGGGTCCTTTAAAGGGATCCGTAGGGATTCTGTAAGGGTATAGGGTTCAGGGTTTACGTAGGGTACTTGGAGGGTCTTTAGGGGACTTAGTAGCTGGTTATTTTAGGGACTTATAAGTACCATAACCCCAATTAAGGTCCCTTTTTGGGCTACTTATAAGTCTACTCACTACCTACTTACTAAGTCCCCCGACCCTCCAAGTAGGGAAACTGGAGAACGCAAACGCCAGAGGAAGACCATGGTGATGCCACTAATCCACATGGCGTTGCCAGAAGGATGAACGACGGATACTGTCTTAGACGCTGCATGCTGTGGCATGCAGATCGCATTCCTCCCCGTTGGCACGAAACATTTGAGTAGTTGTCAATATTAGGTTTTTTTGGGGTACCCTAAATAATAGCTGCCGCACTGTTGTAGGGGCCCAAAAATAGGGACCATAATTTTGACAACCACCCATTTAGCTCAGGTCTTTTGAAAAAACCCTGGCGGAAGAAGTCACGTAGACCCTCGGCCCTGCTTTCTATCATACATCGCCGGGATGAAGACAGCCAGGCAGAAATCTGTGGATTTTGAATCAGTCTAGGAGACTGACTATTTCAGGGCCTTCATTGGGTTTGGAGTACTAAGTGACTTATTACATCTGTGGAGGGACTGCGTTCCAAAATCCTTCTCTGTGCCCGGCAAAATCCCCTAAACTTGAGCTTTATCGACATTGAAGCTGCCTCTGCCGCGAATGCCCTATCCTTTTGTGTGAGGGTGTAGTGTTTGCGCTCTAAGGTTCAGCGTTAGGGCACAGACGCTTTAGACCTAGGATTCAAGAGACCCATGGTATCCTGACACGAACCTCTCAACCACCCCAATCACGCTCCTTTTTGGGAGCCCAACAACCCTGAATCCTACACGGCCCTTGAAAGGAATCCTTGAACCCTCTAGAGCCCTTGTGGTAGCCCCTTTATGTCGCAAGGCCTCAAAAGGTGGGATGAAGGTAGGTGGGATAATCCCAACGAAGAATCCTTTGACAGGGGATCCCTAATCCTACCTACCTCCCTACCTTCATAGAACCCTGCTTTAGATACCTTATAGACCCCTTTAAGAATCCCCTTTAACGGGAACCCGACCCTAATATAGGGGCCTTAATAATTAGAATAGGGTTTGGGGGCCCATTATACTATAACTATAAGGAACCCCAAAACAGTATTGGTAATCATTTAGGCCCTATAGTACATTGTCCTTTTAAGGCAGGGCCTCCGCGTTGAAGACATCCCAGTTCCGGAAGAGCTGCTCAGCATCCGCCTATCACGGGGAATTAGGGATTAGGGTTTAGCTTTCAGGGTTTAGGGTTTAGGGTTCAGAGGGTTCTAAAAGGGTTCTATCAGAGTTCTATAAATATGAAGTTTCTAGCGGGGTTCTAGAAGGGTTTTATTTGGTTTTGTCTTTTGTGAGTTTAGGGTTTAGGGGTTTAGGGTTTTGGGCTTTAGGGGTTTCGGGGTTAAAGGTTTAGGGGTTTGGGGGTTTAGGAAAGTTTAGGGTTTAGGGTTCTGGCTTTGGGTAGAACAGATCTCCCTCTTGAAGAGGCTGCTAGGGCGTCATAAATTCTGGATAGCAGGTGTTGAGTTGAGGATGTAAAGCTTGGGGAAGGGAGCGAGTATAAAACAATAAGAAACCCTCCATCTCAAGATCTTGAAACAAAGACTAAACCCTAAACCGCCTGCAACCGACATCTGAAAATCTTTCCAGATCTTCAGCCCTGGTGCCGAAAGCCTGTTCCGAACACCCCAGGCTTCTTGCGCGCCCTTTTTAGGGTTTAGGCCGATTTCACGATTTAGGGTGCGCTGTTTCTAATCATCCCTTGGATTTCTATTGAAACAAGCAATAAACCCTAAACCCTAAACAATAATTCCTAAGAAGACTGAAGGCTTTGTTTGTCCCTGGAACATGACCCTGATGCCCAATCACCGTGGCTTGCCGTATGCACGGCCTAGTCTTCTGGTCATGGACCAATGAAATCGAGAACCCAAAGCCCCCGAAGCCTAACCCTAAGGATCCAAGTAGTCCTTATTTATGGGCGTTTGAATACGTAAAAAAGCCCTGATGTCCCATCATAGGGAGTACTTGGAGCCTCAACTCTCAAGTGAGTCCGAACTGGATCTCCACAACCCCGAGACTCCAATATCCCTTAACTAAGGACTATACCTTAGATAATAGTAGGACTCCTTATATGATTTAAGGTCTATTCCTTAACTAAGGGATATTGGAGCCTCTGGGAACTCTGCATGGTATCTAAGCAACGGTCCTTCGTGCTCTTGGGGGAGGCTCGGGGTCCAGATGGGTGGTTGTCAAAATTATGGTTCAGGGTTTAGGGGTTTAGGAAATAGGGTTGAGGGTTTCGGGCGTTTTGGGCCCCTAATATAGGACATATTATTAGGGGTTTAGGGTTCAGTCTTGCTTGGAAGGTCTTTAGGGGACTTAGTAAGTAGGTAGTAAGTAGACTTATAAGTACCCTAAAAGGGACCCTAATTGGGGTTATGGTACTTAGAAGTCCCTAAAATAACCCTTTACTAAGTCCCCCGACCCTCCAAGTAGGGTTTAGGGTTTTAGGGTTTAGGGTTCAGGGCTTTGTGGGCGCCTAATAAGCATGGCACCTATACCCCAAAAGGGACCCTAATTTCGACAACTACTCAAATGTGGGGTGTGGATCTGGTTTAGGGATTAGGCATGAAGGACTTACGATGTGAGGCCCTGGGGCCCAGTGAGTCTATCGGCGTATTTTCGGGTACCAGATCGAAAAGGACTGCCTCAGGGTTCAATGCAACTGCTTCAACACGGTCCCGAGCAGCTGGCTGCTGATCTGCATCTGCATCCCTGCCACCCACTTGGAGGGTCGGGGGACTTAGTAACTGGTTATTCTAGGGACTTATAAGCACCATAACTCCAATTAGGGTCCCTCTTAGGGTACTTATAAGTCTACTTACTACCTACTTACTAAGTCCCCCGACCCTCCAAGCAGAGGCTGCAACCGTCGAGCATTTGCGGCATCCCGCTACGTGGTCGGCCGGCCATTCCGCTCCCAGGTCACAGCCATTTGCAACTGCAAGGTCTCACCCGCTGCGGTCGTGGCGCCATTCGGTGCTGACAGCAACGTCCGCCGGGAGAATAAGGAACCCCCACAATAGTATTGGTAATTATTTAGACCTCTATATTAAGGCTCATGACAGCACACAACTCGCAGTCGAAAAAAACACCTCTCTCGCGGCTCACGCTTGGAGAATCAGATGGGGGATTTAGTCATAGTCAACAGGGCTACAAGTAACGTAGCTGTACTTGTATTTGCTTGTAACCGCAGATCTATTTGAGCCCGTGTATTTTAACTGTAGTTACAGCCAGTTTTTGCGTCTATCCCCAATCATAGTGCTGCTATCCCCTGTGTCACCACCCATGAACCCTAAACCCTAAACACGAAGCCTTAAACCCTAAACCCAAAGCTCTAACCCCTAAACTCACAGTCGAAGCATAAAAGATTGGAAACCCAGTAGTCTCAATCGTCAAGAGTAATTAGGGTTTAGGGTTTAGGGTTTAGGGTTTAGGGTTTAGGGTTTAGGGTAATGTATAGGGAGTCCCAGCACTATTTGGCCTTAATCCGGTTTCCAACTTTAAGGGGTTTACTCTAATCTTCAAGAAACCCAGGCCACCGCCTTGGTCAGATCGGGGCGTTTCCGATCGCTGCCCAACGGACTCGGGCGCGCCTCACAGCACTTGGAGGCCCAGGGGACTTAGTAAGCCGGTTGTAAGTAGGGCGATAATTGTGGTAACTCCCTCTAGGCACTTATAACTCTACTTGACCTTAGGCCCTAAACCCTAAACCCAACCTACTCACTAAGTCCCCTGGACTCTAAGCAGAGTGCGGTGCATGGGCGTCAGGGGTTTAGGTACTTATAGTTGGATCCCTAGCGGGTGCTAGGATTCCTTTAAAGGAATCTATAGGGGGTCCTAGAATTCCTTGAAAGGGATCTTAAGGGGGAGTCCTATGAGGGTTCGTAGTTTTAGAGCTGAGTGTTCCGGGGTTTAGGATTGAATGCTCGGGGTTTGGGGCTTTGAGTGTTCACGGTTTCGGGCTGAGTGTTCAGGGTTCAGGATTTGGGGCTAGGGTTTAGATGATTGAGTAAAATATGGCATAATGGAAGGCGGGTTACCATAGGTCAGAGCAACATACTGCAGCAAGATGTAAGCTAGATGAACTGCTTTCTGATTGCCCAAGTTGGGCATCGATTTAGGCCCAGCTCTAAACCCGCAAGCGCACATAGGATGTCAGAGCACCACCTTCGGATTCGGCTGCTCGCGTCGCCCTTGGGTCGACTGGGGCGCCGCCTGGAGCAGTAGTAGCAATAGCAGTACCAGTAGCAGTACTAGCACTAGCAGTAGCAGTAGCAGTAGCAGTAGCAGTAGCAGTAGTTCGTAGTAGTAGTAGTAGTAGTAGTAGTAGTCGTAGTAGTAGTAGTAGTAGTAGAAGTAGCAGTAGCAATAGCAGTAGTAGTAGTAGTAGAAGTAGTAGTAGTAGTAGTAGCAGCAGCAGGAGTAGTAGTAGTAGTAGTAGTAGTAGTAGTAGTAGTAGTAGTAGTAGTAGCAGCAGTAGTAGTAGTGGTAGTAGTAGTAGTAGTAGTAGCAGCAGCAGCAGCAATAGCAGTAGTAGTAGGAGTAGTGGCAGTATCTAAAGTAGCATTAGTAGTGGCAGTAATTCATCAAAGTAGCATTAGTAGTCGCAGTAGTGGTCACATGCTTCGGAGTGGACGACAGTTTTCTGCATTGCATGTGCATTCGAAGGGAACAGTACTACCTGGAGGATCATGGGTTGTCATAAGTAGGGTCATAAGTCCCCTAATCTGGGTGATAATTATAGTTACTGTACCTGTAACCGCACTTGTAACTACCCATGAACCTCCAAGTACTGTTGTCAAATCTTCTACGCGTCTGTTGCGTCATGCGCAAGGAGGTGTCCCTTCAGGGCTCCTTTAAAGGGAACTGCAGAAAGTTGGAATATGGTTTCAGGGTAGGATACCCTATAATTTACCATAAAGGGTTTAGGATAATCATATTCCAACTTTCTGGCATTTACTATAAGGGTTTCATAGGGATTTCTTCGTGTTGGGGTCACCACCTCTCAATTAAGGAACGTGGTTTACTACAAGGGACATGACCAAAAAAGGCGTGCAGCCACTTCAGAGAAACCTGAGTACGTAAATCGTGCAGCAGTGGTGGTGTCGAAGAAGTAGGCTTACTTAAAGGATAAGCGGGCTTCGGAACCAAGTTGCGAGCAGGGTCATAAGCAACATAACCTCATGTAGGATACTTAGAACTCTCTTCATAACTTACCTACTATGTCTCTAAGCCTTATAATAAGACCCGTTAAACCCTTTTCTAATTACTCAGGCCACTGTGGTAGGCTTACGTTGTGCTCGAATAGGGATTGCAGAAGATGCGGCTCCGAACCCTATCCTAACACGAACCCGATAAGTCCCTACTCAGGCCCCTATAGCAGGCTTGAGGGCCTGACCGGGAATCCTAAACCGTAAACCCTCAGAATCTCCCTTATAGTAGCCCTCATAGTAAACGTGAATATATACCCCTAATCCTTACCCTAGGGGCTGAGTACCCTAGCCCCCAAAAGGTTAACCTGTGTAATTATGGTAGCGTTATACAAAACCCAAAGGGTTAAAGGTTACCTACTCAGCTACTATGTTATAGACCCCTTCTTTCTGGGGAAGATCCATGTCTCCGACCCTAAGCCATAATATTAAGGCCCCTATGACTTACTTATATTCCGTACTTTTGTGGAATTAAGCGCAATAGAAATCCTTCTAACTAAAACCCTTGAAGGAGCCCTTAATGACGAACTTTTTTTCAAGGCATGTTCCTTAATTACGGGGTAATGGAGGAACCTGATTCAGAAACCCTGGGTAACCCCCAAATAGTAAGGTTCATACAAAGAACCCCCCCCCCCCGCACCCAAGGTTTCTGAATCAGGTTCCTACCCTACTTGGAGGTTCATGGGCAGCTATAAGTAAGGTTATAAGCAGGGTAAGTATACTTATAACTCATATTAGGGGGCTTATAATTCCACTTAAAACTACCCATGAACCTCCAAGTAAACCCTAAACCCTATATATATATATATATATATGCTTGAATAAGGGGTACAGTGTTGGGGATCGAAAGCCACGGCCTGACTTGGGGAGCTCTGGCGCGGCTGGCCGCGCAGCCGCTGCTTCCCGGGGCCTCGCGCTGGGAAGCTTCGTGTTTCGGGCTTAGGGCTTAGGGGCTTAAGGGGGTTTAGGGGGTAAGGGGGTTTTAGGGGTTTAGGGGTCTAGGGTTCAGGGATTTAAGGGTTTGGGGCTCATGGTTTAAGCGGCTTAGGCGATTTAGGGGCTTAGGGGGTTTACGGGTTTAGTGTGTGTTGGGGCTTAGTGGAGTTTAGTCCAGCAGTTCATGGGTTTAGAGGGGGGCTTAGGGTGTTTAGGGTTTAGGGCAGTTTAGGGTTCAGGGCTTAGGGTTTAAGGGTTTAGGGTTTAGGGTTTAGGGGTTTTAGGGGGTTTAGGGCTTAGGGTTTTGGGTTTCGGTTCTCTGGGGGCCTGGGTTCAGGCAGCGTGGGTCAAACGACAAGCAAGATCAATGTCTGCTGGGATGAACTGCTATCGTTATCACGTCGCTGCCGCCATCAGCATCTGCATTCCGAAATTAGTATTAGACATGCGTCAGCATGCATCCCCGTCTCCGACTAGCATCAAGACCACCGACAACATCCTCACCACCGTCAACAAAGTCATCATGATCGCTACAAGCATCATCCATACCGGACTGCCATCATCAACAACAATTCCAAGGATATCACCGTAAGCCCTAAACCCTAAATCTTTTGAGAAACCCGTAAAGGAACCTTGCAAATCCCAGACAGGTAAATTGCTTAATTGAAGAGTATTGGACTCTCTGGATGGGTGCTTGGGGATAGGGCGTTCCAGCTTTAGGGGTTCAGAGTCCATTTAGGGTTTAGGGGTTTAGGGTTTACGGTCTAGCAAGCTGAAACCCTGAAATCCTGAAGCCTCCATTCCGGGACTGCGGCCTGAACTCACAGTTCAAGCTTAACACCTCAAACCCTGAACCCTACATGAAGGATCAAGGGCCTCAGTGGCTCGGGCCATAATTAACAGCCTGACTACAATAGCTCCATAGGGGTTTAGGATTCAGGAGTTCGATTTCAAAACGGGGGGGTTAGGATTGAGGGACTCGATTTCAAACAGGGGTGCGATATGATTCGATCTCACAGTAGTCAAACCCCAAGACCCATTAAAGGAATCCTTGTAAATCCTTTTAAAGGAGCCTCATGGACCTTTAAAGGAACCCTAAAACCTCGCACCTGGGCAGGCCGCGCTAGGAGGCGGCCCTGCACATGTCCTTGGGAGCAGCCCGCAGACACCAACATCCTGAACTAAGTTCCCTCTGTTAGGGCTTAGGGTTTAGGGTTTATTAGGGTTTAGGGTTTAGGGTTTAGGGTTTAGGGTTTAGGGTTTAGGATTTAGGGTTTAGTTCACAAAGCTTCCAGGAGCTGTAATTACATAAGTGTGTCATACGGAATCGATGACAGCGTTCTGCGGATGCTCCAAAACCTTTACAACCACGCCTTTGGGCTTTATCAGTAGAGGGCCGTTTATAAGGCCTCCAGGATTCAGGGCGTACGATTGGGATTTAGGGACTTCCGTTTAGCGTTGCGGGCTTGAAGCTCAGGTTCACTGATGTTCGTCTTCTGACTGGCTTCGTCTTTGCTCTACCCTTCTTTATATGCCCTACTATACGGACCTAAATCATTCGCAGCTAAGTACTAGTGACATATGGCTTTCGGGCATCCTTACTCTAAGTACATTGGGGAACTTCAACGGATATTCGCACCGACCCCCCCCACCCCTCTATTCTACTCCTTGAGCTCTACTGCATCAAACTAGCCTATACCTTTCGGAAGTAAGGAAAACAGCGAAAGCCCAACACTCTGAAACCCCTAAACCCTAAACCCTAAAACTTGAACCCTAAACCCTAACCCCAAAACCTGAACCCACAGCCCTAAACCCTAAAACCTGAACCCTAAGCCCTAAATCCTAAAACCTGAATCTTAAACCCTTACCCACGTATCGGGCAGCCGGCTCTGGCGACGCCTCCCTTGAAGCGACCTGCGCAGCAAAAGCGGGGCCCGGAGGCGTTCGTGAAGCCTAGAAAGGTTCCTTTGAAGGCTTCTTTAAAGGGTTCCTTTAAGAGTTGCCTAAACCCTAAACCCAAACCGAGAGGCTAGTGAAGCCTTTTTAAGGCTTTCTGTCAAAGTTCGCTGAAGCGTTTTTTTGGGGGGATCGTTTACATATGTGTTAAGCGAAACAACGGAACTATACGGTCTTTTAGGGTTTAGGGTGTCAGGGGTTTGTGATGTTTCTGTGATCCGTTCGGGATCTGGGCTTTGTCTCTAGGGTTTGTCGTTTGGCTTGGATTAAAGATCTAGGAGACTTTCGCCATTAGAGTTTGGCACCGGGCTGCGGTGCTTCTGTCGGGAGGTGCTGGAAATGTGGGCTTGCTACCACCTCAATCCAAAAAACCTCACCGAACTTAGCAAACACGCTCTCATAATTTATGTAACCCTAAAACCCGTGTACCGACACAAAACGAAGCGCTCGACCGTATTAGGAGGGTCGGAGTACTTGAGAAGTAATGGTCCTCATTGTATGCGTAATTGCAGTAACAATCGAATCATCCTGAACCCTATCTCCTCAGGCCAAACCCTCAACCCTGAACCCTACACCATACTCATAGGTGAGTTTCCGAAAATTAGGGGTACCTTCTTTGGGTGGGGTCCTGTTAATAAGGATCCTACTATTCAGGGTACTATATTGGGGTCGCCTATTTTCGGAAACTCCTAATATGAACCCTTACAGTCCTTACAGAGCCCTTTAAAGGAACCCAAATACCCTGATAGCAGCCTTTTAAAGGAACCCCTCAAAGGGCCCCCCTATTTTCTGAAACCCCATACTAGTAGCAGGCATAAGAAGAGGCCTTTCCAGCAGCCCAACCGTTCCCTTAAATGCACCTACCTTCATCGCTGACGCCCCAAATGCGGTTTATGGTTTATGGTTTTTTGGGTTTAGGGTTTCGACACCGAACCCGAATCACCCGAAACGCCGACCTACACCCTAAGCTCCGCCCTGCAGTACTAAACCCACGACAGATCCCTGACAGCCTCGTAAGCTTGAACCCTTAAACCCTTTAGACCTTGAAGCAAAAAGCGATGAGCCCTCGGAGGCCCGTCGCATACCCAGAAACTCGGTACTTGAAGGTTCATGGGCAGTTATAAGTGGAGTTATAAGTCCCCGAATATGGGTTGTAAGTATAGTTACCCGATTTATAACCCTACTTATGACGACCCATGAACCTCCAAGTAGGATACAGGGTTTCGGGTTGAGGGTGTTCCTTAACTAGGCAAGCCCAAACCCCAGGCCCTTAGCCCTACACCCTAAACCGAAAAAGCCCCTCCTAAACACCCTAAAGGAACCTTTAGCCCTAACCCTCCACCCTTCAGGAACCTTCTCAAAACTCTACACCCTAAAGGAAGCCTGAAAGGAACCCTTAACTAGCCCTAAACCCCACATAGCCTACACCCTATAACCACCTAGCTTTGGAGTGTTTGGCTCGTGCCTCCCGGAGCGCTCCGCTCTTCTGGCCGCGGCTCTGGGACTGCGCAGGCTTCTGTACCCAAGGGTTCCTTAAAAATGATCTATAAGGTAATGGCAAGGATTCCTCTCAAGGGATCTATGAGGTTTTTTGTTATAAGGATTTTTTTAAGGGATCTGTCAGGTTTTGTTTAGGGATTCCTTTTAAAGGATCTATTCCCATGACAAAAGCCTCACTACGGAGGGCGGGCAAGGCGACCCGTGGGATAAGTGCTTGCTTGGCAAGGAGTTGTACGGCGTTGCTCCGGCCTACGTGGGCGAGACGGTCGCCCGATGCCGGCAGGGGGTCTCGCGAGCCCGGGTAATCGGGGAAGGAAACATTCTGCTTCCTGAGCTGTCGCCCCCGGGCTTTCAACAGGCCTTGCATGCTCTTCAAACACTGTGCTGGCGGAAGATGCTTGAGCTGCTTGCCATCTTCGTCAACGAATGCATCGCGAAAGCCGTGCAAATGGCAGGCTTCGAGCGACTGTGTTCCGGAGGCAGAGCCAGTTGAACGCGACAGTAGTAAGCGCCCCACCATGCCGCACACAACACACCGTCGTCGCAATGGCACGGCGATGACAGGCCATACTGACGCGGGGGGGGGGGCGTGAGCCAGACTGCTGCCGTCAGCAGGCTAAGTCTCAGGAGCAGCTGCTGGCGCATTGTGTGATTAATGCCAAAGTCGAACCGAATTGGGACACAGCTTTCTGCGGGCAACATCTAAACCTTTCGCCCAGTCGGCATTAAATTGGCGGATGTGGGAACATGAAGCCAGAGCGCCCGGTGTTACTTGATGTGGCTGATCTGCTGCGTCCCGGCGAGGACAGGCCTGTGATGCATGCTCAGCAGCGAGGCAGCCGACTTTCGAGAAAGGCACGTGGTCAAAGATGTGCAGAAGACGCTCACAAGACGCCGCGCCGTCGGAGTTAGTGACGCAGTACAGGACTGGTGTGCAATGCGTGCACCACGACTTACCCATGAGGCCTTGTTCGAGGGTCGTGGAAGCCAAATGTTTAGACAGCACGCGCAGCGGCATGAGCTTCCAATCACCGAAAATGTCTCGAAATGTGGCGTCGACCGCCATCTTCAGGAAATCGGGATTGGCAACACGAGGAGGTACCCGCAAGAGCTCTCTTGTGGTCACCACTGCGCAACAACCAAGCTTGCCTGACGTGCGGGCAAAGGCGTGGAAGGCCAGCACTACCATCGCATCTGGGTCGAGCGAATCGTCAGCAAGAGATTGCTTGACCGCGTCCTTGCAGGGCTAGTCTGCCAGCCAGGTTACGCCAGCAGAGTTAATGGCGTCTTTGTGTCATCAACAGTGAAAACAGACCTAGCGTCCTCCTCAAATTTCAGGGCTTTTTTGAAGCCGGACGCGCCCGCACTGCGTTCCCTCTTCTTGTTGTGTGCTCGGTTCTGTTCCTGCACTAGGAGCGGCGGCGAGTCTTCAAGGTGGTTTATTGATGTTTATTGCTACGAGCCTGCCCAACGCGGAGGGACTTGTGGACGCATCTGGGAGTGCGCGCTGCGAGGCTGTGACAGTGTCAGATTTTTACGCTGTCCAGTCGGGTCATGATGGCCAGCGCAAAAGAGCTTAAACTGCCTGGTTTCAGCATCATAGGACGCAGCTCCTTCCCAGGTACACTTTCTGGAATCCCTGCAGCTGCTGCAGCTTAACGGAGAGACTCCAATACCCCTTAATTAGGGATATCCCTTAGATTATGATAGGATCCCTAATCTGATTTAAGGAATATCCCTTAAGTAAGGGATATTGGAGTCTCTGGGTACCCAAAGAGTCCAATGCGGTTAGGTTTATTTAGGTTTAGGGTTTTAGGGTTTAGGGCTTAGAGCTTAGGGCCCCAGAAGGGTTTGGGTTTTTTGCTTCTGTACCCGGAGAGTCCGGTACGTTTAGGGCTGGGGGTTGGGGTTTAAGGTTTAGGGATTCAAGAGTCCGATACCCCTTCATTCAAAAATCTACCTTTGGTCATAAGGGGCTTTAAGATTATCACTGTAATCTCACTTGAGGTATAGTCCTTAATTTTCTTGATAATGATTCAAAGCTTGCAGTCCTCATGTCCTCTCCCGCATATGGCCTGAAAAGGGTGGCTGGTGGGACGTCCCCCTACGTCACGCTTTCAGTCAGGGGTGAGGAGCTTAGGCTTCAGTGTTTAGGGCATCGGGATCGGAGGACTTATGTAGTACTGCGGACTGCATGTGAGGCGACGAAGAGTGTATCTATCATGGTCGACCGATGGTATGACCACTGCAACAGCGACGAAGATTGAGACGGCCAAAATGACCACCACAGCGGCGACGACCACGACGATGACGACGACCACCGACACAACAATATCGACGACAGTGCCGACGCCGACGACGACACCGAGGAGGAGGAGGAGGAGGAGGAGGATCAGGATCACGACGACAACGGCGCCAGAACTACATTTAGGAGTGCTGTTTTCAAAGTAACACAGCCTGAAAGACAAAACGCGGAACCCCAACAAGCCAAGCTAATACCCTCATGCCCCAGTTCCTAAAGCCAGAACCTTATGCGGGAAAGCCCCAGAGCCGTAAACCCTAGCAGTCATAATCATACGGAGCCTGAATCGCCCTTGGAACCATAATAACGCAAATAATACGTTTAATACGTTTAATAATCCCTTGGAACCTTATGAAATAAAAACAACACATTGGAGATTCCGAAAATAGGGGACCCTGCTATAGCAATTACCCTAAACGGTAGGATCCTTGTTATAGGCTCCAACGTGCTGTTCACGCGCGCCGCGCAGACGCCGACCGCATCGGTATTTACGGTGTTTCCTGAACCTTGCAGCCGAAAACGTCGCGCCTGTCGTGTTTTTCGGGGGGTAGTGGAGGCGCGGGCGTTGAGGCATCGAATGTATTGGAAATTACGGTGTTTCCTCGACTTTGCAGCTTGAAAACCTCGCACCTGCCGTTGTGTTCGCAGAGCATCCATGTGCCAACCATGATAACGTCAAAATCAGACCATATCAGAGCATCCATGTGCCAACCATGATAACGTCCAGATCAGACCATATCCATGCCCGCAGAGCACCCATGTGCCAACCATGATAACGTCCAGATCAGACCATAGCCATGCCCGCAGAGCATCCATGTGCCAACCATGATAACGTCCAGATCAGACCATATCCACGCCCGCAGAGCACCCATGTGCCAACCATGATAACGTCCAGATCAGACCATACCCATTCCCGCAGAGCATCCATGTGCCAACCATGATAACGTCCAGATCAGACCATAGCCATGCCCGCAGAGCATCCATGTGCCAACCATGATAACGTCCAGATCAGACCATATCCATGCCCGCAGAGCATCCGTGTGCCAACCATGATCACGTCCAGATCAGACCATATCCATGCCCGCAGAGCATCCATGTGCCAACCATGATAACGTACAGATCAGACCATATCCATGCCCGCAGAGCATCCATGTGCCAACCATGATAACGTCCAGATCAGACCATATCCATGCACGCAGAGCATCCATGTGCCAACCATGATAACGTCCAGATCAGACCATATCCATGCCCGCAGAGCATCCATGTGCCAACCATGATAACGTCCAGATCAGACCATATATCCATGCCCGCAGAGCATCCATGTGCCAACCATGATAACGTCCAGATCAGACCATATCCATGCCCGCAGAGCATCCATGTGCCAACCATGATCACGTCCAGATCAGACCATATCCATGCCCGTATACAGCATCCATGTGCCGGCCATGATAACGTCCAGGTCAGACCATATCCATGCCCGCAAAACATCCATGTGCCAACCATGATAACGTCCAGATCAGACCATATCCACGCCCGCAGAGCATCCATGTGCCAACCGTGATAACGTCCAGATCAGACCATACCCATTCCCGCAGAGCATCCATGTGCCAACCATGATAACGTCCAGATCAGACCATATCCATGCCCGCAGAGCATCCATGTGCCAACCATGATAACGTCCAGATCAGACCATATCCATGCCCGCAGAGCATCCATGTGCCAACCATGATAACGTCCGGATCAGACCATAGCCATGCCCGCAGAGCATCCATGTGCCAACCCTGATAACGTCCAGATCAGACCATATCCATGCCCGCAGAGCATCCATGTGCCAACCATGATAACGTCCAGATCAGACCATATCCATGCCCGCAGAGCATCCATGTGCCAACCATGATAACGTCCAGATCAGACCATATCCATTCCCGCAGAGCATCCATGTGCCAACCATGATAACGTCCAGATCAGACCATATCCATGCCCGCAGAGCATCCATGTGCCAACCATGATAACGTCCAGATCCCTAAAGACAAGGAGTGGGTCAGACTCTGAGTGCCTGAAAAGCAAAACCTGTGCGAAGCAGCTTGTTCCGTGAACAGCTTTACTTAAACGCCTCGATGTGTCCAAAACCCAAGCCACAGCGCAGTTCTTACCAAAATACTGATAGTTTCCGTGCGTCGACCTTCTTCAGTTCCCATTGTTGCCAAGCCTGAAAGTGCTGCACCTGCCATGTAAAACTACGCTTCCTCCTGCTACATCCTTGGAAAGGCGCGCGTGAACAGCTCGTTGGAGCGTTGTTATAAGGACCCCAAAATAAGGTACTTCTAATTTTCGGAAACTCTAAAGCCGTATAGAGACCTTTCAAGGAACCCTTATAGTACCCTTAAAGGAACCCTTAGTTGCCCATGTTTTTCGGAAACTTCCACATAATTCCTTAGACCACTACAGGAGCAGCCTCCGAAGGCGAGGCTGAGCGCGCTCTTCTCTGGCTGGCACACACGCTCCTCGTTGCCCAGAGACTCCAATACCCCTTAATTAGGGAATATTCCTTGAATCATATCAGGGATCGCACTATGGTTTAAGGTATATTCCTTAATTATAAGGTGTTTCGCAGTCTCTGGGTGCTGAAAGGACGAGTCAAGGGCTAGGGTTTAGGGTTCAGGGTCTGACTGAATCGCTAAGGCTTCAGAGGGACTGAAAACACACGTTTCTCCCCACCTGTCTCGGTCCCACTCTGTCTATCTCTATCAGCCGATCTGGATCTCTAGCATCACATTCATATATGTGCACATTCATATATGGGAGTTTCCGAAAATTAGGGGTACCTTTTTTGGGTGTCCTTATAATAAGGACCCTACTATTTGGGATACTATATTTGGGTTCCCCATTTTCGGAAACTCCCATATGTGCACACACACACACATGCTTCTTCTGTACTTCAAACAAACTGCAATGCAGCGCTGTCTTGTCTTCAGAGAAAAGGTATATCTTCGTATCTTTCCGCGCCTGTACAACTGCGGTCCCGCCCTAAGTCTTCCGACAGACCCAAACCCTCAACCCTCACTTGAAGGTTCATGGGTAGTTATAAGTGGGGATATAAGTAGGGTAACAACAGTTATAACCGATATGAGGGGGCATATACCGCCACCTCTAACTATCCATGAACCTTCAAGAGCCGTGGCAGCACAAGCCTCGCAGTTTGTAGTTTTAAGCGTGTGCCGGTGCTGTCCGAGCAGGAGGATCATGGGGCTTAGTCAGAAGGTCGTAAGAAGGGTTTTTACCTGCTTTTTATGTTTGCCCAACCATCTGAGCAATCCATGAGCAAACTGCAAGTCTAAAAAACTGAGGCCCAATGTCCTCGATCCCCCAATCGAATCATGAAACCACTGCAAGTCTAAACCTGAGGCCCAATCCCAAAACCCTTAGATCCCGCCAAACCTCTAAACCGCAGAACACCTACACGACCCCTGAGATCCACTCCTAAACCCCTAGACCCAAAGAAAATCAAAACAAAAGTAAACCACTAAAAAACAAAAAAACACCTTATGAAAGAAAAGAACGAAGACCCCTAAGCCTTCCTAGAGACTCCAATATCCCTTAATTAAGGAATATTCCTTAAATCATATTAGGGATCCTATTATAACCCAAGCTATATTCCTTAATTAAGGGCTCTCCCCAAGGCCCCTTTAAGACTAATATCTTTACACTTTAAGGAATACGTCCACCCTTCGGTGGTGTTGGGCTGGTATTGGATTGGAGTCTCTGGGTTTGAAGAACCCCCCGCTCAGCGCCCGTCGCCAGCTTTGAGGAGGAGAGGCTGGCCCTCACCGTGCTCCGGGCTCTCAACATGCTCGTCTCTGTTTTTGTTGGTGGGTTTGGGGGTTTAGGGGTTTAGGGGTTTAGGGGTTTAGGGGTTTAGGGGTTTAGGGGTTTAGGGGTTTAGGGGTTTAGGGGTTTAGGGGTTTAGGGGTTTAGGGGTTAAGGGGTTTAGGGTTTACGGGTTTAGGGTTTAGGGGTTTTAGACGCTGCCCCCACCCTGTAATAGCGACTATAAGGGTTATATTAGGGCCCTATTACATTCCTATTATACCACTATTGCAGGGTGGGGGCCCCTTCTAACTCGTCCCTGTTTTTGTTGGTGGGCTTTGGAGTTTAAGGGCTTCGGGGTTTAGGCGGTTTTAAGGGTGTAGGGTTTACAGATTTTTTGAGAGTTCAAGGCTTAGGGCTGGCTGAGGGTTGAAACGCGAAGGTTCAGGTTCCAGCTTGGGGTTTTGAGCTGAAGGTTAAAACGGCGTGGGGTTTAGATGGTATAGGGTTTAGGGTGTAGAAGGCTTACGCAGAGAGACTCCAAAGCGCCTTACTTCACGAATGTCCACTGAATCGTATCAGGCTTCCGATTCCAAGCCCTTAACATACCTGAAACCCCAAACCCTGAACCCATAAAAGCCATACTAAACCCTGCAAGCCCCTGACAAACCCTTTCTTACCGAATAAACCAGCCTAAACCCTAAACCCGAAGCCCCAAACAAGCCCCTGGCAAACCCATTCGGACCGAAAAAACCAGCGACTGAGCCCTCTAAACCCTCGTAAGCCCTTTAGAGCCGTGACCGCGGCCACCCTGCTACAGTGGCCTTAATGATGAAGTAGAACAGGGTTTTGGGGCCCGTTGCACTATGGTTATAATAAGGGACGCCAAAATAGTACATAATTATTTAGGCCCCATTAGGTTGGGGGTGTACTTGGAGGTTCGTGGGTAGTTGTAAGTGGAGTTAGAAGACCCCTGATAAGGGTTCTACGGCTGATGATACAAATCCTGCATCACCCATAATAAGGAATGAACCATAATGCCCATAGTTTAGGGTTCTTAATAGAGGCTCCGGGGACGTAGTAAGCGGAGTTCCAAAATAAGGTAGTGACAATGATAAAGTTTTATAACCCCAACGAAAGTACTCATAATCTTGCTTGCGAAGTCCCATGATCCTCCAGGTAGGAGCACAAAAAACACCAAAAGACAAACCTTCCGAAGGCAATCTCACTAGGCCTGGCCTTGACCCCATCGGCGGAGAGGCCGACCTCCAAGTGTTAGGGTTGTTTGGTCTACTTGGAGGGTCGGTGGACTTAGTAACCGGTTATTTTAGGGACTTACAAGTACCATGACCCCAATTAGGGTCCCTTTTGGGGTGCTTATAAGTCTACTTACTACCTACTTACTAAGTCCCTCGACCCTCCAAGTAGGGTCTAGGGTAGGGTTTAAGGAGTCCGGGAAACACCATAATTTTAGGTGCCTTACTGGCTAGCATGGCGTTCCTTAAAGGGGTGTGTCGGTTCCTCTACGGGTGCTACAGAGATTTACATTGTTTGCATACAGGGGCCTTAATATTTAGAATAGGGCTCTGGGTGACACTTTTTCACAACTCAATCAAGCCGAGATATCCCGACCCCTAAACCTTTCAACCCTAGGCCCTACTTGGAGGTTCATGGGTAGTCATAAGTGGGCTTATAAGTCCCCTGATATGGGCTATAAGTATAATTACCCTACTTATAACCCTACATATAGCTACCCAAGGACCTCCAAGTAGGGCTTATGGTGACAGCTGGTGATGTGACGTCCGTCCACCAAGCCGACGCTCGTTTCGCACCCAAAACCTGAAAGTCTCACACCACCTACTTGGAGTTTAGGGTTTAGGGTTTAGGGTTTAGGGTATAAGTAGGGTTATAGGGTTCCTGTAAGGGTTCGATAGGGTTTGGGTTTAGGGTTTAGGGTAGTCATAAGTAGGGTTATAAGTCTCCGAATATGGGCTGTAACTATAGTTTCCCTACGTATAACCCCACTTAAAACTACCCACAAGCCTCCACGTACCACATCAGCACATGGGTAGTTCTCTTCCTTTTGATATGGGTGCCGTGCTATTTTGGGGACGTAAACTCCCAATCTAGAGAACTACCCACATACAGGTTGGTGTGTTTAGGGATAAGGGTGTAGGCAGCACATAATGGACAAGCAACAACCTTGTATCCTACGATTTTCATCCCTGAGCCCAACACCAGGAACCTGAAATAGGGTTCTTAATAAGATTACACACGGCAAAAAATAAAACTGAAGTGCTTACATGCTTTGGATGATAGCATGCTGATGATTGCAAGGGGCCTGGTTGCAACACCATCTTGTCCGACCGCCCTAAGTTACGCATACCTGTGTCCCGCAAAAGACGCCACACCATGTAGAAGGCGGACTCCGCACCAGCATGCAACGGGCTGTACTTCACCCCACGTGCGAGCATTTGTCGGAGCAACCCTCAGACGCGATTCTTCACGTGTAGCCCAGGCTAGTCGAACACGCCTTGCGGGGACCATGTGCTGCAAAGCAGACCAGTTATCGGGGGCTCGCCCGATTCGACGAGTGAGCACATGGCCTGGAGAGACATTTTCCACTGCCAAGCGCGGCACTGGGGGGGTTTGCTGACAAACAGCTGAATGCTTGCTAAGTGGTTTTGCTGATTTCGGCCTCGGTTTGCCGACGCACGATCAGTACCCTAATTGGGGGTTTA